CATACATTCTCGTCGAACGATAACCTCACGACGCCTTACATATATATATACCTATCTTACACAAAGTTGTAAGAGCGTCCGGCAGTAGGTACAATGAACGATTTAACGATTCTACTGCTGATTATGGTTGCTTTTTATAGGAAGGAAGTACCCTCGTGCTACTCCGGCAATTTCGAAGGCGCACGAAGAAGTAGAAGCTTGTCGAGAAATCACAGGAAGCGGCGCCAGCACGACTGGCTTTGCCGATGCGCTAATTAAGTGTCAATAATTATTTCCGTTTCGACTTAAATGATCGAGAATAATTAAGGACTGGAAAATATCGAAGACTTAAATTATATTATTTTCAGATACTTTGAGAAGTAAAATTAATTGCGATTTTTTTAGTATTATTTTGGATTTTTCATTTGTACACATATTTTTTTATTGGTACGTATACTTATATACATATATATATATAAATATGTCAGGCGGCAGTTTCCAGGCCATGCGGCATTCACAACAGCAAGCTAATGTTGTTTTTTTTTTTTTTTAAAACTAGACCTTGGGACATGTAGCATTGGAATTCTAACCTAATCTAACCTAACAAATAATTTCTTAGCCCATCACAAGTCGGAGTGTCCAGCATCAAAAATTTGTTGGAAAATTCGGTGTGAGTGCCGCCAAATGGCTCTGGAAGTATACGTTGCATATAGGATTTTTCCAGGTCCACCCTGGAAAATACCAAAAGTCCTCATAACTGCCAATACACAACAAAAAAGGTCTTGGAAAGCACCTTGTGAAATATTTATAAATGTATATTCATTTACAATAGCGGAGAAAAGTACTTAAAAATAATTTTCCAATACGAATTTTTCAGAGCAAGTTACATATAAATGGAATTTCTGTTCTGTGCAAATTGTTACGTGGTGACGAATTTCTCAGGATGCCTTATGCGTGCCCCTGATACCTATAGCCAACTTTGTTTACATATATTTAATTTTGTCAGTTTTGCGCCCGCGAGGGTGAAAAGAAGTTATCCCAGCTAGGAGAAGCCGGCTTTTCCGAAGATAAAAGCTTTTGTCTACCCCTATTTTTTGTAACGTATAAGAATACGGGAATTCGACGGAAATCCTGTTGTGGCGAAACAGACATTTTGACGAGTTTTATTAAAAACTTTGAATGATATAAAAAAAAAGTACTCGAGCCTATATCCTGTTGCTATAAACGTATAGTTCGTCTTCTAATGGATCAGGAAAGAATGAAAAATAAAAACAGTTCGAAATATTCCCAGTGGAGAAAAATAGGCGTCGCACGCTATCCAAGTAATAAAATATTCTCGAAGGAAATGGGCCCGCATTTCCCTATGAATCACTCATGAGCTCCCCGGTTTTATGCCTCGCTACCAAATCCATTCCATCGTAACCACCCTAACCGGTAAACCAGTAATTTTTGCCAATCATCAAATATTCCCAAAGTCAAAATTTTCTCAAGCACGGCAGAAATCATATACACGATAAACATATACAGGGTGTTCCAAAATTACCTGACCAACGGAGTATGGCGGTGTTCGGGAGGCACCACTGATCACGAAAATGGCCTTCTTTTTCTCCGGAAGGTGATAGTTTTTAAATAGGAGCAGGTCAAAGTTGACCGATCAAAGCGAGGCGTCAAGAGAAACGTAGGCACCTACAAACTCTGAGTTTTCTTCCCTCGCTTTTGTTTCTCGGTAGCTTGTTTCTTGTATCCAATAGGCGCGTCAAGAGAAACGTAGGCACCTACGAACTCTGAGTTTCCTTCCCTCGCTTTTGTTTCTCGGTGGCTTTGGGCAGGATGACGTCAGCCGAAGACATGCCTATTGGATACAAGAAACAAGCTACCGAGAAACAAAAGCGAGGGAAGAAAACTCAGAGTTTGTAGGTGCCTACGTTTCTCTTGACGCCTCGCTTTGATCGGTCAACTTTGACCTGCTCCTATTTAAAAACTATGACCTTCCGGAGAAAAGGAAGGTCATTTTCGTGATCAGTGGTGCCTCCCGAACACCGCCATATCCCGTTGGTCAGGTAATTTCGGAACACCCTGTATATTCATTTTACATTTATGGATCTCATCCCCAACATTGTCTACAGATTTAGCCGTTAAGTTAAATACAAAAAATGTTTCTTACTCCGAAGAAAATTTGTAAGCGTATACAAGAATATAGAGGAATCCACGAAAAGTCATTGTTTGCTCATTTTATATCGCTGATATTCAAAACTGCCGCGGTTTGTTTTTTTTTGCAACACCCTTCCTCGATCTAATGGCAAAATCTGTATTTTTTTCCAGTTTTCTCCCGACGGCGATCATGACAGGAATATACCGGAGATCGGTGAGTACAGGTAGAGTACACATTATATACAATTCCATATAGTTAGAGAATCGTATTAGATGCTTTTATAAAGGGTAAACAAATAAAAGATATATCCAATCAAAGAATTGCGAATGTTTATAGTATACAGTTAGAGATAATAAACATGGTTGATTATTTAATTTGAAAATTTTAACACATTGCTAGAACGACTGTCAGGTTAGAAATCCATTAACTCTCGGACGATATGTACAATATATGTCATCGCATTCAATTATACCGTGAAATTGCGTATATCGAATATATGTATAAACGCAACTGTCAAACCTTGTTTAAAATTGCCGCCTTTAATATTCCGTCGCGGAAGGGATCTTCATTATATCGTTTGTATAAAAGTCTAACAAAATGATTGACTGAAGTAATGAAAAACCACGAAAAATTAATATTCACGATGAAGTATAAAACAAAATGGTTCCTTTCAAGATGCGACGTGGAAGGATATAGCTGTCGGTTGGATTTACCAAATCGAATTTCAACGTCGATGCAGGGTACGATAACACATCGAAAATCGACTTCCGGAGCTCTCGTGTCTCCAGTTGTTTTATCAGTAACCGGATATACGTCAGAAAGAGCGTCTACATAGGAAAAAAGCTCGGAGATATCAAATTTCTAATGACCAGTATACTCAACGCGATTGGCCATTACACTTGTTCGTACGTATACGAGAAATTTTTTTGTTTTCAAAAATAAATTTATCGTAATTAAAAATTTTACATGTTTACGTCTTCATCGAGATTGTTTATTTTAGTGAATATTATGTCAGTATCAGATGATAATTTTTTTATGTATTTTCTGATAGTGATCATTAGCAAATTTCACACTCGGAATTACTGGCTACATGATCCGTGTGACAAAGCTTTAGGGCTGATCCGACCTGCTTGGAAATTCGCAAGGGTTGAAATTCTCCAGGGTGTTGGAAGTTAGCCCGTTTATTTGCCGAAGCGTTAACGAGCGCTCCGAATTATCTTGTGCAAATAACATTTACGCGAAAGTGAAGGAATCTGATATTGTGCACACTCCTTTAATCATCCTCTGGACTGAATTCTTACACTCGACGATATAGCTTGTAGCGCATTGAAACTCTGTAAGATTATTGACTGTATAGGTAACTATGTAATATACATATATTTATGATCGAGATTTTTACGCTCCATTTTTTTTCCTTTTCAAACATAGGCTTCAAGCCTAAAGAAACACGAGGAAAGATAAGGAAAGGTCCGAAATTCACTGATAGGACGAGGGTCAAAATCGTATACCCTTGAGATTACCTTAAGTAGAAAAACCAGAATATCCTTTCGGTTCGATTAACGACTGGGGACAGGTTCGTTGATGAAAAGAGACATTACATAATACATATATATATATACAATATATATATTGTATATATATGTAAACTTGTCAAAGGATGGTTTCATAACGTATGGCACTCACAACGGAAAGCCGATGTGTTTTTTTTTCTTTCTAAACAACTTGAGCCCCGGAACACGTGGCATTAGAATTCTAGCCTAACCTAACATAACGAAACCATTTATTAGCCCATCACAACTCCGAGTGTCTAGGATAAATTTTTTTTTTTAATTCGGTGTGAGTGTCGCTTTATGGTCATGGCAGTATACGTTACGTATCAAGATACTTCCAGAGCGGTCCTGGAAAACATCAAGGGTCCTTAATAACTGCCAATACTCAAGACCAAAAGTCCTGGAAAGCACCCTTTCAACAAATTTACACAGATACGTACGACGTACACATCCAGGTAAAAATTCACGCGCAGAGTAGCTGCTCCGACTTAAAGTAAAGTCTGAAAAAATGTCGAGACGAGAGACGGATAAAAAAGAAGCGAAAAAAGAAGTTAGAATGACAAGAAGCAGAGTTTAAGGATCGTGATGAAGATGGAATGAAAAAAAAAAAAGAGGAAAATACGACTACCGTAGTTACGTGCATATTGTGTACGACTGTCGAGAGTTATTGCGTGGCTTTTCGAGGGTCTTGTAAGAATTTTCGAGACGGACTCAGGGAATGAGATTTGAGAGCGAAAAAGAGATAAAATGATTTCAGTTGCTATCTGACTTTTTTTTTAGGTGGCCTTCCAAGTACGACGCTACCACTAGCCGCGATATTTTCTGACTAAATATTATCTTCGTCGAGAACGTTCGCCACCTGGAAACTATGTTCCATGTGGCTTCGGTTCTTCCCCTTCTTCCTTTTCTCTTGTTCCTTATCCTACTCTATCTGGAATATTTGTGAAACGTCCTATCGATACTCGAACGTGCGCACGTAACAGATGTGCGAATACAGAAGCGGACAAACATTTTCGCCTTTTCGTTTTGTCTACCTCGTCTTGTCCACATGACTGTATAGTGCGTGACGCGAGATTTGGAAAATTCACTGACCCGCATAATTTTTCCAATGGAAGCACACGCTCGCACGCGTCACGTTTGACCTTTGTGAAAAATGTGCTTGGCGTAGAAAAAAATTATGCTTGAAATTTTTCAAATGTCAATTTTACGTTGACAATGTACAGTGGGCATGGAGATCTTTTTGAGAGTAACGAGCAATAGCGAAGCGAATGGTAGGAGGGAGGAATTTAGGTGGAAATTAAAAATGGATTAAGGGTTAAAAAATGCTGGTGACAGCTTCAGCATCCCTCTACGATTATACCGTCGTCGTCGCGAGGAAAAATCGAAAAAGGGAGTGGAGATTTGCTCTTAATGCGATAATCTTCGAGAGAAGCCTGTATAGGTAAAGTGGGTAGAATATGCCCTGACTAAAATGCTTTGGTGAAATCGGGTGATTCTTACTAGAAGTGGGCAGGGTACCAACCCCTCGCCATCCCAAGACTCGAGAGTTTAATTATAAAAGTTTGCTTGGTTTAAAGTGCGAGGCAAAAGCACCACACGGTACATACCATACAAGGAAGGAAGTCTCTCAATCTTTTTACCCCTTCTCCCCGCCCCTCCCTATCCCTCTCTTTCTCACTCCTTATTACAAGTGTGCGGAAGCCACGCAAATTGAATGGGTGGAGAAAATGAATGGACCAAGTGCATTGGACGAGAAGATAGGGAATTTCGATATTATTTAACGATACGCCAGGCGTCGCGACGTCGATTCATCCATCAGGATTTGGATAATCGTTGATTTATCCCATGGCCTGTGAAAAATTCCTCTTAACCATTCCGAGTGCGATGACCTATACTTTTTTCTATCTTTTTATCTCTCTTTTTATTGCCTCTCTCTCTCTCTCTCTCTCTCTCTCTCTCTCTCTCTCTTTCTCTCTCTCTCTCGCTCGCTCTCTCTCTCTCACTCGCCTTTTTCCGTGCACGTGTATGCCTATCGATACTTTCCTTTTTACGTTTCCTTCCCTTCTTTTATTATTCTTCGCCAACCAGTCATTCCCTTGTCACGTTAAATTCTTCACGCCTCATTAAACTTACTCCATTGCCATTGAATAGCTCGCGATGCATCTTACTTTTATTTTCACGTTTTATTTATTTTCTGTCTGTACCTTTTTTTTTATATCACCCCTCCACGTGCTCATGGACGAGAGTCGAATATCATACACAGCTAGTGCACGATTGAAATCTAAAAATCAATAAAAACGACCTATAGAACGTAAAAAGTTTAACGGTCACAAAAAATGAGGATAAAAGAATTTTCGTTCGTTGAAATTTGAAAACAAAGAGATAAACACAAAAGAAATATATTGAAATCCATAATTCGACTAACGCTCGTCGACACGTGATTTACGTCTGAATGCATAAACGATTGCTAATTTACATATCAAAAGGGTTGGAGATGTCCCATAAGCTCAGACGTAAAACAACACGAAATCCAGCAGGACCGGCGACACGGTACGAAAAAGAGGGGTTGAATTTTATTCAAAATCCGTAATACCGCATGCATGGTAATAAGACGCTGTAGTAAAATCGAACGTGATACAATTTCCAGAGTAGCCACACAAAATTACCGGTGATTGTAACGAGATTTTTAATCTGATAAGAAGTACGCAACGTCGTTACAGCTCATTAACGATGCTAGGTTATTCGGGTGGGCATTGAAAAAAAAAAAATTAATTCGCCGTATAAAAATAGCATCTGCACGATACACGAGAATAGTCTGTACTTGGTAGCACTAGGTACTGCGGTAAATATCTATCTACAATCTACATACTGTATACTCTCAGTCCAGAAAGCATCCAGCTCTGCTGTAAGCTTGATGTATGTCGGCAATGCATTCTGGCCAGTCTACACGTACGTACGTAAACGTGCATGCATAGTTGGTTTAGAGAATAGAGTGAGGAATCGTACTGCACAGGTACAAAATCCAGTGCAAATCGCAAAGGGCGTTCCTGATCCTTGGCTGCCAGCCAACTGGTTCCCCGCTTACGTGAACGTAGCACTGCTATAGAGAGTCGTCCTTATGGAACTTTGTGTTCCAGGGTTAGCGGGCTTATGGAGAATCCATAGGGTAATTGCAGTGTGCAAGGTTGCGCACTAGGGTTATATTAGGAACATTAGGGATATAACAGGGTTACTATAGGGATAAGTACAGTCGAAAGCAAAATGATCTTTCAAAATATTATTGTAAATAATACTATTGCAGTATAAACAGGAAGGCCATTATTTCTCGCTAGTGTACCAGGGGTACTAAGGATGCTAAGTACACTAGCGCCAACTAGCGGAGCAACCTGCAATATCCATTTGTATGAATCACTGAGCCGAAACAAGAATCCAATCAACATGGGACGTGCAGTAATCGATGCTAAGTCGTCGATGTACCTAGAAGCATTTGGTCTGCTGTTTGCTGTCTGCTCGTGACCGACTTTTACTACTGGTTAGGCAATTGTTGCAATGCTAATGAATCGGAAAGTTCCTGTACGTTTATCAATTTGTTATGTTTAATTCAATTTCTTGATTCGAATTAAAGAGCAGTTTTTTTTCTTAGGAGTTGAATATATACCTCTTTAGACTATATTGTGCTTGTTCGAGTGATCAGCGAGTGAACGTAGAAAATGGAGGGGGATAAAGAAAGTCGAAAATGTCGTAAGGGTTAATAATAACGAGGGAGTGTGAGACTTTTTTTTTAAATTGGACTAGGACGAAATTACGTTTGAGAAATTCTCTAATCAGCCCTTCAATGAAATTATTGAAATGGTCAGGATAGCACAAAGGCACCCGTATGCGTAGTATTTTGCACGGTAGTGAAAAAAACCAATTGACAGTCAGACCCACGAAAACGCTTCAATGTCTGACTATAACCTGGGGATATCTACTGGAATCAATAGTAGGGTAGATATAAGGTACCCGCAGGACGAAATCGAATTAGTACCCTGTAGTGCAGTAACGTAGTTAGCCGTTCTAATCGTCTCGTTATCGCAATACAGTGTAAACGAGGCTTAAAGTGTGAGTATACCCATACACTCTTATCTGACCACTAGCGATTTCACGTAACCGTCTGTATTTACGCTAATTAAATGACGTAGGGAGGGTTCCTTACAGATACCCTTTTTTAATTTGGAAAAAGATATTGTAATGATAAAAAAAATGTGAAAACGAAATAAGTTAACCCCAAAAGCTCCCGAGTGGGTGAAACCGACATTTTTATATAAATAATAAAATAATTAAGATCCTGATTTTGGAAAAATTGGAAAACCAACAAATTGTTGCGAGTGCTCGTTTCGGCATATTTGATCATTCGATCGACGCAATACCCGCGAACTTACGACTACAGTTAATATTAATATGAACTTCAAAGGGATATAAAATCCTCATTTGGGATTAACGCAGGTCCTGTTATAACGGAAGTGTTCTATGCGAATTCAATGAGGTCTAGTGACGCGCGCCTAGTAATTAAAAGGACATGTATATACACCTGCTTACGAGTGACAAGTTCTCCTACGCTCTTATGTTACCCATAGAATTTCTATGGGGACTTTCAGCGCTGTGAGGTTCCAGAAGCGCTCGACTCAGACTGATCCGCATAATTCTATGCTATACACCATGATGACGGGAAGGTGATTGATGACTATGAACTCATCCGTATCCATCCTCGAGCTTACATACTAATAGACTGCTATATCGATACCGAGCGCTGACTATATATATGACGATAGTATACTTTGGAAATATAAATTCAATAGGACTTGGGGCACATTTAATCATTCCAGGACTGGGCCGAAGAAATGATCGGTTTAACGCTTATGCTGAGATCCATAAATCCACAATCACAACGAATTTTTCAATATTTTTCCAACACACCCTGTGATGGCTACGTTAGGTTCAGATAGCTTAGAACTTCAATGCTAGATCCCCGAAGATTTATTTTTTTTGTATTTTTTTCTTCGTTTAATTAAAATTGAAAACCCAAACGAAATATTTCCCGTGTCTCAACGAAAAGTCTTCTGGTCTCGAGTCATATCGTATAAATACAATAAGTCTAAATATATAGCATATACTTTAACGTATATACTGCTTTCTGTATTGAAATAGCAAAATAATTCGGTGAAAGTACCGCCCTAACCTAATTCAATAGAAATGTGAATTCTGGATGAGTAGATATATATAAAAGAAGCTCCATACCGTTCTTAGGAATTATATTACGGAATAATCCGTGTCAAAGTCTACTAATTTCTAAAGAAACTTAACCAACTCATTATGTAAGCAACAAATCAGGAATGCCAACTATGTTTTATTAAAATAATACAAAGAATGATAAAGATTCGGTAATTTAAAATCCCATATCTCATCTTCTCTCTATTTATTTCTACGACGTCACTCTGCTGATTGACGTCGTACCACTTCACGTCACTCGATATCATCTATCCAGGACTCTCGACGAGGCTGCCAAACCTATCGATGCCAAAAGTACTTCCTCGAGGACGATACCAACGTCGTTGCCTAACGAGGTGACACGTACGCCAACAAATGGTATAGTACGTATGGTATAAGTATACACCGTGTAGACCATTAACACTGAAGCCCTTGTGCCCTATCGCGGCTACGTAGCTCATACGGGAATGTGGGATTGGCATGTGCGAGCTGAGGATCCTCCTTTAGGTAGAGAGGAGGCCCTTGAACCGCAGAGCACTTTGCAAGATGCCCATTACCGATAAAGACGTTACAGTTATATAGGGGAATTTACATGTTCGCCCAAACCTGGCTAAAAGGGTTGTGACAGTTTTCAGCCCATTTCCTTATTGTGACTCGGCAGTGAGATGTTCCGTATGAGATTTTATATACAGATATAGAAGGGTTTATGGCATACTGGATATGCGCTTGCGAATTACTATAGATTTAACTGTAGGGTATGCATACGCAATGGGCCAGACTTTTTCGGAAAATTAGATCGCGATACGCTTTGCTATTGGCTTGTGGGAAATGTGGGTGGTTGGTGTAGATGGGAAATGTGGGGATCTGAGGTAATAGAGGATTTTTGGAATTGGGAAAGTGCTTTCTTTGAAATTAACAATGCTTGTACCGAGCGGGACGATAAGGGGTAGTTTTGTTATTGGATTTGGAATCTACAAATTGCACTTGATTCAAATGCATAGAAAGAGGGATTATGCGGGGAAGTGTTTGTTGGAATGATGAACGGAAATAAAAAAAAATGGTTGAAAATTTTTTTGACGTGCAATGATTTTCGTGAGTTTTTTTGTAAATTGTAGGACAGAAACGGTTTGAGCAAACTTTGATTGATGGATCGTGGGAAGGTAGCGTTTGGAGATTAAAAAACATTGTATGTTTGCTGCAAGTGCGAGAGAGATGGACTTACGAGAGTTTACGTTGGTATGACAAAGAGAAACATAGTATCCGTTGACAGTTTCGATGTCTTCGTCAAATTGCACTTGCCGTATACGTAATTTATAAATGTCTATAATTCTTTAATTATTTTCGATAACGTAGATAGTAATTCAATAACAGTTTTTATTCGGCGTGCATATTTTATTCTGAATATTCATGACAGATGGAGATAAAAATTCGTAGACTTTAAATAATTATCTAATTTTTTGATAACCTTGTGAATTTCATTTCGTAAAGTAAAAATCGCTTTACACATTATCCCGATACGCTTAAACCATTTAAAAGCAACAGACCTCGTGAAAGTAAATTCAAAATTCATTTGAGCTTAATAGCTGCACGGCATATTGGATTTAGCGGAAAGCCCAAGCCCGACTATTTCATTAGATTTCTCGAGTAAATCATGAGGATATATTCAAATTAAATTGAACGAAGAATTTTGAGAAAGCGCTTTTTCTCGCTCTTTTAAAATACCTTAAGGGCCTGAACAGTGACCTAATGACCCTTGAACCTACTTATAAGTTCCCATGAGGTCGTCGGCCTCAGTTGGTCTATACCATTCCTGACATTTCGCGAAAGAGTTATGGCGCTTGCAGGCGGCCGATAATCAAACCTCTGGCGAACCGGAAGTTCAAGTGAACTTCGACTGGACTTAAATCCAGAATCGTAATCGTACTTCACCATGAGTCACAAACAACTAGAACCCTATATGACCGGATACGTCACTACCTGTCACAAGAATATGCAAAAAAAGATTAAAAAAAGACTAATAAAATGAATTCATGAAACTCGCAAATGCGATTCACTTTTTTTTTGCTCCGTACGCAATACACCCTTACTCGAACAATTCACTGCAGGGAATATCCAAAGCACAAGAGAGTAACCCTCAAGTATAACCTATCCTTAGTTCGCGACATCCCTCTCTCTTCCTTCGTTGCTTCTCCTTCGTCGATACAGATCGAATTGGTACAGCTCCCGAGATACCAAGATGTCTGTCCCAATCTCGCATAGGTCATCTCACTGAAGTTTATGTGCTGGAAGGTTTCTTGAAATATTGACATCGACATCTACCAGCGAGGTTTCCTATCAACGCGAAAACCTAAAGCAAACAGATAGCCAGACAGAAATATACGTCCAGAGATATACCATGTATGTACATACGTGCTTCGAAATACAGAAGAGTCAGAATTAACGAGGGCATTTAACACCGACATAGGTCGGTTATAATATAATGGCTTGGAACAGTGGCTGAAAATATGTGTTTTACGTGTAATAAAGTATTCCGTATAGGTATAAACGTAAAACGAAAAAAAAAAAAAAAAAAATTTGTCAATAAAAAGGAATTGCGCAGTTCTTTATTCCTCGAACGTCACAACCAGTCCTGGGTCGTAATTCAAACTTCCATACTAAAAGAGAGCAGGAATATTTTCAACTTATATATACGTATATATATATATGTATATACAGACCCTTCGATGGAATCCTTTAAGATAAATCTTTAAAGACACCCCTCATTCACACAGTATTTTTTTTGAACCTTATCAATCGAAATCCATCCTACTTTGCATTCCCTCTTTCTTTCTCAAAAGCCAGAAAAAAGATACTTTTTCAACGTCAATTTCGTTGACAGATATCAACAGCAGAGCTACCAACGCGATTTGTTTCGTTCCTTGATCTCAATTCGATCTGAAACATTGAACCGTGAGATATTTCAGAAGATAGAATGGCGCGACTGAAAAGTAAAATCTGAGGGAGAAAAGTTTAATTTAAATTACCACCTTCATATATGTAGAATGGTTACCAATAGCTACCATAAGACAAATCCATATAGTATATCTATACCTATACCTATGGGATACCGTGTATCTTCCAATAGCGTATCAATCACTTCCAGTTCATTGCTGGAAAAAAAGAGTATTTCGAACTCAGATTCCGTTCGTCGGATATCGTGCCTGGACGGTTGGTGAACACATTTCGATATCGCCGTGTTGCCTTACCTAAATTACGTAACGCGAGGTACGGTCAGGTTAGGTTGGTTACGTTCGGCGGTGGCTGCAGTACAGAAAACGAAAAAAGAGTTTACTTACGTACGAGCCATCGAGTCTGATCCCTCTATCGGTGGATCAACCAGAGAAATTGAAATAGACGTACCGACGTTGGTGGCTGAAGTGAAATTTCTTCATCTACTTACAAACGACGGTGGTTCCGAAGGAGATTGAGGTTTATTGTGTAAGAAAAGTTTTAGTTTTGCTGAGCACCACGTACGTATGTAATACAAGCTGCATAGGAAGGCTCGTTTTGTAACTTGCTTATTATTGCAATTCAGGCAGAGTGCATTGTTGTCAGATGCAGCAGTTCCGTTATCAATGTTTGCTTACATTCAGGGACGCTCGAGGACGGTCGTTGTGATAACAATATTTGTGGAATGGATATTTATTATTTAACCCGAGAAGAGGCACGTGGGGTTCTGCGAAACCCCAATTAAAAATCGTTAGTAATGACTGTAATAGGGCTTTGTAAAAATCTTGTTCGTTATCATTCGTCAGCGTCGCGTTGGATCTTACAAATAGAAGATATATGTTTTTTTTTTTAAATAAATAAATTTATATCGTTAATATATTGGAAGTCTCGAACGAGAGTGCTAAATGGTTCGTGATGAGAGTGTTTCAGAAAATTACTCATATCAATAAAAAAACTGCTTTTTTGTACATGATAGTTGAGGATTCCTAAAGTGTTTTCGTGAAAAAAATTGTTTAGTTCATTAGCGTGCATTTTGCCGAAATCTCGAAATTTAGCTAAATATCAGGTTGAGAACTACATATAAGCGTTATTATTAAATGTGTATGAAAATAATATATTTTCTTCCATAAAAATTAATACTGAGACGGTTTATAGATATTTTTGTTACTTTATATATAACTGTTTAAACATTTTTTAAACAATTATTAACCAACCGTGCGCTATTAATTTTATAAAATTCGTAACGTAAACAGGCTCTTATACCCCAATCACTTTCGTCACGTCCGTACACTCTCTGAGTCGGTCCCAGATATCTGGTGTATAGTTACTATTCTAGAGTCCTAAGTTGAAAGGTATACAAAACGACAAGTTGGTAGAATTTCGATTTTCGATCGCTAATGTATTGGGAACACCCCACGTGCCTGTTTTCGGATTAATTGTTGAATTAATTATTTTCTGTGATAAACGTATAACCTTGAGATTGGGAGATGAACAGACGTAATATTGATAGGTTGTCCTATAACGCATGCGTGAGTGATTTTTTCAAAATTTGATGAAGTTTAAGCCCGATTTTCGAATTGTTTGGTGTTCGGGGATGCTGTAACATTTTTTTTTTTATATTAGCTGTATACATCTTTATCGTGTGGAGCCTTCATCTCGAGATACCCTTTCCGCAGATACTCAACGCGTAATACGAGTTTTGTATAACGGCTATGATGCCGACATGGCGGCGCTAGTCGGGTGAGCGTTAGTGTTTACATGACCTAGACATCTGGCGATCATTTACTTCAGAGGGTTTTATGATCTGGTCTCTGGGGTACCTTGCCAGAAAAACACGAATGTACGAAAGAAACGTGAGCGAATTTAATTGCTGATAAAGAGCAAACTTTTCAATTTAATCAAAAGAATTGGAAATATTTTTGGAAATATTTTTAAGCAAAATAAATGATATTACGTTTCACAAGGTAAGACATGCGGTTGAGAGTTCATCAGGGATAACTTGAATTAAGCGAGTGTCCCGTAGGTCGGTACACAAGTAGGAATAGAACTGCGGTTTTCTTTGATCTGAACTAAAAACTGTCATCCCCTTGAAGATAACCGACCTAGGTCAGGAGGGTGTCGACGAACGACCAGTCCCTGCGGGATGACACTTCCCATGTAAAGGAGAAAGCGCGACCTTGTGAAATTGTATTATCCGGAAAACTGATAAAATTATTTATGGACGGAAGTTGCCCGCTGCAATCATCCCCATCAACAACAAGAGTAGATAGCCACCCCCGTGGTTGAAGCCAGCGTGAGGATGGCCTCCCTCTAGCACCCTTGGTAAGGATCCGATGCCGTCGTTGAGAATTCGATGGAGACCTGAAGGCCGTGGATGATGACAGAGGGTGGATGGATAAGTAGTGGATAAGCCCAAAGGCGTAGGAAATGCTGCGAGAGTGACAAAATTCTAAGGGTGGAATCCGGAGTGGCGAGGAGGTCAAAGAGAACGTAAAGAAGTTGACTCAACTGTCTACGAAGTTTAAATAGAAAATGAAAGTTTCCCAGCTAGAACTTGATTCGATTGTTAATCTTGGACGAAACATGAGACGGATCGTTTCATTTTTTAGGGGTCGCACGACGAATTCTTAAAAGTGGTGTAGTTAAGGGATAAAATTTGCTCAGCCTTGACTGCGTGGAAAACCAAATCTATGACAAAGGACCGGATTAGCAAGTATTCCGGCGATATGGGTTAACTGTAATCAGAGAGTGAAAACGGGTAAGGTTAGTCTGACAGAAACCAACCCCTATCTCGCAAGTATTAACTACCCCATGTTTTTTCATCCCTCTCACCTAATTTCCTGTCTTTTGGAGTGGAATCTCTATTCTCAACCCTTACATCCTCGCGGTAACGTCGCACATCCAAATATTTTCGTTTTTTTTTTTCATCCCCTATTCCCGAGGACAAATCCAGCACAAAAGACTTAACGATTTACACACGTACCCCCTTTATTCCCTCCAAACACTTTGAATTTATAAAATTCTTTTGCTATTCTCATTAGACCCCGCCAGTATTTCGGATCAGCCAAGAGGATCTTATTTCGCTTTGCGACTAATTGCACCCAATTATTCCAGCCCTGATATTATAATATTTCTATCGCTAATATATCGCTATACTACATTGGCACTAGTGTTGCTACTATACTAGTCTCTGTGGCGTTTCACGTATACCAAGGTTTTCTCTTGTTTCCATCCTAGACGTGCTCTTGACTTTACTACCCCCTTCTCTACACGCCTTACGCAAACAAACCTTCCCCAACTCTATCGCCAGCAATAACATTTCTACCTACTCCATCCGCCTTCGTTCCTACCCTTCCTACTCCTGCTTCCTTATCCTGCTCTTATTACCCCGCTTACAGAGATAAAGCTAGACAGAATCCTCTCACGTGTCTCGATCGATGACGTAACGCAATAAAAAAACCGTGGTACCGTTTTACGGAAAAAAAAAAAAAAAAAAAATTAGTTACTCACACATTATAAAACATTTCCCATATTACGTGTTTCGCAAAGTACGCCATTAATCTTCTTAACCGCACTCTTACCAGTAGGGGGTACAGTAAAAATGATGACAAAACGTTCCCCCACTTCCCAAACTTCCCTTCACCTGCCCCTAAGCACAGCCACGTAAATTCAATTTGCTAGGCTCGGCACAGTTTTCTCAGTTTTCTGTAAAGTGCATATACCTGTAGTTCGGTAGTCACCTTACTGCACTTCGTAACGAGTCTTAGGAACAAAATTAATTTACCTTTCAACAAATGGGATTGGCTTCGTAAAAAAAAAAAAAGTAATATTGAGAAACCAGAAGGAGAAATAAATAGAAATTTAATAACGCCTGACTAAACCACGGTTACGAATACCACTTTAGGACTGCTTTGAGAACGCCTCGTTCCTATGATATTTAAAAAGGCGCTTTTTCAGTGAGAAAATGGACCTTAATTCATGGTCGGCGAGCGATCCCAATGATACTTGAGCGTTATATAATAATGATGATGTAAGCACTTTGCTTTTTTTATCAAAGGGTGGCAACGCTGTAGTGGTTAGCGTATTACGAAATTTTATTAGTGACAGGCATCCGTGGCTTTCATTAAAATTAAAACGTGAAGTAATTTGAAATTTCTAAAAAATTTATGCCGGATTTCATCAAGGCTCATCGGCTCTAACGTACCACCTCCAGTTGTCTTTTCTATAGGAATGAAATGCACGCGCTAACTTCAGTTGATGCGTTTGAGCTGACTTGTAGCGTTTCCTCTTTCTTGGCAATTGTCGAAATTTGACAGAAAAAAATTTAAATAAAAAAAACAATAATAAGGTATTCTCTTCTTTTATGCTTTTTTTTTATTTCAACTAACCACTGACATATCCCTGCAACATATGGATTCTCTTCCCCGTCACCAAAATCTAACTTTGATTATTTATCTATAGACTTATACGATGCTCTTTAGTGCGAAGTGACTAATTCCCATGTAGAATCAATGGAACATTCACAAGAGCCATCGTCGTCACTGCTGAAAATCATTACGGCTGTGGAAGAAAAATAATTTTCCTTCTTTTTCATTCTTATTTACACTCGCTCGTAGCACTCGGAAAATTTGATGACATTTTTATAATTACATCTAATACGTCGTTTAACGAGGTCCTACCGTTTCTTGCATTTTTATAAAATTCAACCCCTTTAGCGCGCTGGAATATTATCGAACCGTGCTTTAGTGACTGTATAAACGCATGCACGTATATACATACACCTATCCTGCAGAAAGCAGTTCACCAGTCTCTGTGAACACGCGAGGCGTCGAGAATCGCGTGTCACAAGGAGTTTGTTACTTTCACAAACGTAAGTAACCACTTGCATAACCCGCCTTATCAGTAGAGTATATGAGAACGGCACAGAGGAAAGTATTACTATATTCACCCTTATGCAGTGTACCGTACCTACCCTAACGTTCAAGAAATATACCTGCGTGCACGTAACCAGGATACGATTCCCCTGCAGGTGGGAGGGGTTGCATCAAGCAACAGGTATCAAGAGGTCAACTACCCCGTTGCCCTGTAGTAACAACCCCTGCTGATCGAAATTCTCTCAAAGCCGAACCACCCCTGCCTCCCACTCTCATGTGGTACCGGACGATCAATCCGAGTGTGGTTCGATGCAAGTATGGAATAATAACGTGAAAAGGGAAATTATTTCTTTAAATTAAGTACTGTATAGAAAGGGGTGGAAAAAAAGTAGTGGTGAAAATTCGTACAGAAGTATATGCGTGTGTACTTACCTCATTGGGCTGGTTACGTGATACGTATGCGTGTCTGGTGCAATAGAGAGGCAGCTTGTTGCAGGGGAAGTGGAGTAGTTCGTTCAAGTACCCACGCGAGTGCATCGCACCATCCAACTTCAGAAAATGCATTTCTTCGCGTCGCTATTCCGGCACATATGAAAACAATGAAAATACAGTAAAAACGACACACGCGACTTTATTTTCTTGTTTTATCCTTATCAATCCGTATTCCGATCCTTTAACGAATTTTCGTGTTACTTTGGGATTTTCACACTTTTCGAAAAGAGGAATCTTTAATGTGCTCGTGCTCTTCAATACAGGTGCGGGGGAGACGTCATAGTTGTCTCACGAAAAATGAAGTATTTCATATATTTCAGCGAATCTTGTAGAAATATGAATTTTTCTCAATTGAATGCTCTCTTCTTTTTTAACAGTTATATATACATATATGGTGTATGCTTTGGAGCAACTTTCCGACTTTACATTTCTTAAGATACAGATGTACGTGTATTACGGTATACGAAGTTTTGAGAACACTTTATACCGTTTTCCATTACTTTTCCCTTTTTCATCTCGTTTATCTGTCTCTCAAGAAACAAGTGCGGATACAAAGTCGTCCCCTCGAGCGCTTTTATTGTTCGTGATTTATTCAGTGACATTACGAAAAAATGTTAAATAAATAATAAAGAAAGAAAAAAGAAGAACTCCCAAAATGGCACCGGGGTATTAGGAAGGTATCAAGTTCTTAAAATTTTAATAACGCTAGTACAGTATCTTGTAAATTTTATTATTTTTAACAATTAAATAGAGGGAAAAAGGTATTCACAATGTGAATAATCCCCGTATAAATTTACTACCATTCGAATAAGCCTAATGTGTGAACAGGTAAATATCATATATAAAATCACTAATAAGTCAATCGAACCAATAATACGTCCATACGTCGCTTATACGTTTACAGGTCGTATAAACGTACCGAACCGACCAAATATTTCTTGAACAAGTTACACGGAGATTGAACCCGAGTACAGGATAATTCGAGGAAATTTCTTGGCACAGATGCGAATTTAAGGATGACGTAATATAGTGGGTACGAGAAGTAATATGCGTGCTTATTTAAAAGAATTCATACACACTATATGAAGTTATGGATGGAATTCGTAAAGTGAGTTCAGTGTTTCCAATTCTGGCAGGTTAGCACTGAAAGATTAATGGCTTATGAAAGAAATCAAGAAACTTACCTACCTTTCGCCATCTAGTGCCGACTCTTAAAACTACCTCTACTACTCTCTTAATTCTCTTGACTCTCGTGTCTGATAATGAGTATGGATGGTTGGTTTGTATGCTCTCTTTTTTTTTCTCTCTCTCTCTCTCTCTCACTCACTCACATTCTTTCTCTCTCGCTGCTGCGAAAAATTCATTCAGCTTTACTGCAGCTAGCATCCATATTGCATAAACAAAGCCACACGTTAAAGGTTCAACTTTCTTCCCGCAATGCATTTCTGTCAAGCGCAGCTTACAACTTAAGACCCTTAAGAGGATTCTGAAGTTGAAGTTATCCCGCTAAGAAATGGATGTTGCGACTAAAAGTATCCGGATTATTTTTCTATAAAATTCCAGCACGTATACCGTGTTTACTTAGCCAGCATTGTACGACGCGCCATAGCATGGCCACTCGACTTACAAGATTCATCATTAATAGTAACTCCGGGACAGTATGGATAGTGTATCTATGATACTTCTTGACAAAGGTCCTTGATCCTTTTTTACATGAGAAGTGTATTCGTCGATCCATCATGCGCCATTTTACTATCTGTATTCGCGAGACTGGCGTCTTCCGGTTTACGTAAGGGTATACGAGTCAATGGAGAGGGATATCGAAAAGCGGTGGTTTTTCGATAATACGAGTGATCGATAGGGGGTAAATATACCCCTTGACATGTACTGCATCCCCATAAGAAAATCGATCTCGCTTCAAATTTTTCTATAACTTTTTAGTGTGTATATATATATATTTTTTTTTCCTATTGCAGAAAGCGCGGGCGAGGATGAGGATAGCTTTTCTAGGGACTCAAGAACTCATCCCTATCAGCATGGTAGCGGTGGCAGCAGTATCGGCGGCGGTGGGGGCGGCGGTGGCGGGGGGATGATTTTTCCTCTGAGAATGGCAGCAGCCATGAGGGCTCGTTCTGGTACGGGGCTCGTAAGGGGTGGTGGGCAACATGTGAACTTTGACCCCGAGGCACCCCCACCACCCCTGCAATCGCAAACGACATCACTGCAAACGACATGCCTACTTGAGAAGCCGGAAATTGATAAGAAAGTCAAGGTCGGTATTTTTATCTTTTCCGAGTCTTATGGGATAAGAGTCTAGAAGGGATGATGTTCATTAGAATATTTATGTATATATTTTTTTGAAAAATTTTTTTCAAGCTCTAACGTTAAACGATTCTTGTGAATTACGAAGGTAATGGATATCTGTAAGTCTCCAGAGAATTCGGAACAGTCACAACTAGATCCTCCGACCGACTGGCAATTGGTACGAGAGGAAGTTCTCCTAATCCCATAATAATTTGAGAAACCCACCCCTAACCAATCCCTGTTCTAAGGGTGTCTTCAGCATAATCCCTTGATACGAAAACGGGACTACGTCGTATAAAAGTACCTAGTAACGCCCATATACGTAATTGCTATTACGCGGAAGTGGATCAAATTAAAATAAAATCCTAGGAAGGATCAGTATTTCAAGCCTTAAGGAAATCCGACAAGGAGCGAATGTCCTAAAAAATCTTTAGAGGAGCAAGAGAGAAGGCCTAAAAATCTGTTTAGGTATAATTATCGTGTAGATGCGTAGTCAGTGTCACTGGACCGTAGGTCCTTTCATATAGTAATTATTAGCGAGGGTTCGAAAGCGACTTCGACTTGGCGCATGCGCACTTTCGTCTTTAAACTTTCTAAGAAAAGGCAAAATGAGAAACGGATGCCCTTGATTATCCTGAGGTCTTTTCAGGAAATGAGAGTATCTCGTACCCACGTCATGTCACGGACGCATAATTACACCAAGTTCATACCCGTCGTCTGCCGACTTAATCACAAGCAGAATCCTAGTCCACCTACGCTTCCGCTTCCTGTGGTCATACAAATATAAAGCCCCTGTGATCTTCCAGAGTTTCTTAATGAATCACGTGGTACAGCCAAGACCCATAGTAATATATGTATGTACACTACACGAAATGGAACGTTCTGGCTCCTTTGTGGGGTTCCTTTATTGCCTCGTAAAGCGCGTACATTTGCGCGGGGATTTCAAAGTGACGTATAACTTTCCTCACGGAAATATCAGCGGCTCTTTACGTATGTCGAGGATTTCGATGCTAACAGCGACTTTTTTTTATTCAAAAAATATCTCTAATGGCAGCACAGCCCCGTAGGGTTATGGCCGTCTCACCTACGTTACCTATGTAAATGGAAAGTGGCAGGCAAGAGGTCTTGCGAGGCTTTTACTTTTATTACATCGTAAACGGCGTAGAGTAACGGATGGAATTGGAACCAATGGCGGGATGAAAGTCAGTCCACCCCTACGGGGAGTCGGCAGCTGAAGTAAGCAAGAAGCATTCCCAAGGTACATAATGTCAAGGACAATTCGGAAACTCTTCCAGAAATGATTTACGAGTGGTCGAGGATTCAGTTAGATGCTACAAGGGATGATTCGTTTCCTCAAAAAATGACAAGCAATCAGCTGTTCACTGATGCTCTCTGATCATCGTCCTCTTGAGAAAGGTTTTCTAGATAAACATTTACTTCCTGCAGGATAATTAATATCGGAGTCCCGAATGGTTCAATTTTTGTTCCCTTTTCTTCCAGCGTCTACCACTTCACTCTCTAACGGAGCAAGATAGAGTTTTCTTTATCAGGGTTGACCAGGACCTGGGTCTGGACCTCAGGGCTTCTCTGGCTGCCTATTAAAGACGATCTTGCCGTTACAGCTTTCCGTGTAATTTCCTATTATCATTTTCGTACGCGGAGTAGTTTGCCCCGATAGAGCAAGTTTCACGAAGAGCCAGTAGCCATTACGTCGTCAATGGATGAACTTTACTCGTCACGTTGGATCTTACTTCCCATTGATTCTTGAAAGTCATTCTGGAACTGTAGAAACTTCGAGAACTTCGTTCTACCCTTAGTAATGTGAATTTTCTTAAAATCATTCGCAAAGCGTTGCGTGCATCAGCAGCAGGATGGGTCCTGAAAAATATATAAGGGATGTAAAAAAAAAAGGAGAGTTCCGATTAGCCCTCTTCAAGTGCTGGTATGACGACTATGCCGAAGGCCATCCTAAATGTTTATCCAGGCGCTCCCTAATTGTCAAGCGGCCACACCCTTAGCATACACTGTCCATCATCCCCCTGCACGTCTTACACGTATGTACTCCTCTTTACTACGCCACGATAAATATTCCCTAATCCTGCTGCTCCATACCCTGGGTACATACTTGCCGCTCCTAAGCTATTCTCATGAACGGACGAACAACAGGTGTTATGCCAAAAAGGTATATTAATTCAGGTGAAATTATATTTCTCTTTCACCCTTAAACTGGCCGATACATCTCCTCCAATTTTATGCACGTTAATTTTCCTTTATCATTTCTAAAATAATTCTCAATCCATCCCCTTCGATACATCACATTCCCCTATCTTTGTAGTCACCCACCCTTAATACCAAAACGTCAAAAAAAAAAAACCAAACGACGTACGATTCTTACGGAAACCGATTGTAGGAAAGAATTTTTAAAAAAACTTCAGAAAGCGTATTGCGAATAAATGCATGAACGAACCTGGGTCAATAAGGATGAGAATGAGAATAAATTCAGAGGGAGACAGGTTCAGCACAAGGGATGATGATTACTCGCTACAAACAATATGGACCTGTATTTTTCTCTTGTCCGTTCCGCTGAATATATTGAGATGTGGGTGAATAATACAGAGCTATTCCACTCGTTAATTGCTACTCCCCGTTTTCATCCTCTTCCTGCACACACGCTCTCTCTACAGCCGAAGTCCGTATCAGTCACCAAAGTCTGCCATAGTTCACTGGAGCGAAACCGCTAAGGGACACTGCGGTTACACGGGAGACGATAAATGGAAGAAGAACAAATAATTTTCTTCCAGAGACACAGCATCCATGGTATGATGGAGGAGGAGAACGTCGTGAGGCCCCACCAGGAAATGGCCAGTCTCTCCCTGGACGAGAAAAAGTACCTCCTAGCCGTTGAACGCGGAGATGTAGCTTCGGTCAGAAGGTAAATTGAAATTCTAAGGCATACATGCTAAAGGTGCATAAGATACATAAAATATACGAGACGCATATGGGTGAAGATATTTTTAAAGAATTGAATTCAGCACGTAATATATGTTAAGTATACCATATGTCATAGTGGCTGCATAACCACGCTACTATGTACATTATAAATTCAGAATAGTCGTCACCTGAATCGATCCGAAAAATTCAATATTATCCATAACCAAGTTGACGTATGGAAAAAAAAACGAATGAAAGGGGAAATAAGAGGAATATCAATATACTCTATTCAAGATCACGACTCTTTGTACAGGGTTATTATGGCCATTGTATTTTACCTTCCATTTGAATTGTACTTGAGCATATCGACGTGTGCATGGCTTGTAGTGTCCTATGTGGGCGGGAAATTCAATTGTCCCTTCAGCATAGTCTATAGCGTGGCCATAAGTAGAGTCGACGCAAAACGGAATATAATTCTCTGGGTGCTTGTTAATATCCTCGTTATAATAATGACTGTTTACAAGTAAAACTGAAATTGCACGATGAATATCTGGATACGTTGTGTAATTGATATCTCAGGATGAAATCACGTAATTCTGAGTCGTCTTACTTATCATGATAATTTGTTTACAGGATGCTCCAACGCGCCCAGGAAACGGAATACATAAATATCAACTGCGTAGATCCTCTAGGCAGATCCGCACTCTTGATGGCCATCGATAATGAGAATCTTGAGATGGTTGAACTTCTTATCGAGCACAAGGTCGACACGAAGGACGCTTTACTTCATGCCATCTCTGAGGAATTCGTCGAAGCTGTGGAGGTACTTCTGGAACACGAGGAGACCTTCCACAGGAACGGCGAGCCCCACGTAAGCAGCTCTGTGTCGTCCGCTTGCCGCCTGCCCGTTCGTAGTCCTGTTCGTAGTTTTACAACCAGGACGAAGCTGGTTGATCCTGAAGGAATAATAAGAATTTACATAATTTCAGGATCTAAAAGGATCGTCCTGGATGATTGATGGTACAGTCTTGTCGTGGCTCTGGTCCTTGATGATATTAATGTAACGACATGTATATTACACGTAGGGTCACAGGAATCGAGATGAATAAAGTTTAAATATTACGTTAAAAGAATTTTTTTTGTTAATTAATCATTCATTATAAAAGCTGAATCTCCTCGGAGGGCTTAAGGTTTCATTTTGTTTAAGTGACGTAACAGATTGAAAACTCCTTCGGGAAGATTCCATGAAGTAAAAGAACCTTCTGGAACATTTAATCGGCTCTCGTGGATGTTAAATCGGCTTAGTTCGAGTCCCGCTACCCTTTCGGGTATCTTTTTCTTGTTCTTGGTTTCTCAAAGGGGACAATTTGTAATTTAGACATGAGTTAACAGCCAGAATGGGGATGCGTAAGGAAGCAGTTTATATTGTATCGCGAACTGTATTGTAATTGATGAAGCATTATCACACGATCACGATTAAATTAATACTTTACAATTACAAAAGACTATTATTACATCGTTATTACATTTATAATTGAGTAAACGGAACCGTGAAGTGACTTAAATTTACATAGGTATTTACAGCTACTGGAAACTACTCATTGTGATAATTAACTATCTGCATATAGTATACGTACGTGCATGTACCAAGTTCTACAGGAAGTTTCTACCTGTAGGACAAATGATGCACCGCCATATGGCGAAGTAGGACGTACGGAATACTACAATTATCTTTGCGCAGTGTCTGTGGATAAATTGCATAAGGAGATTATTAATCAGTATGTTAGGCACATACTGACGCGTTACTATTCTCTGTAAATTATTCTAGTGTGCTATATTCATCGCAAGGGTAGTCCAATTAGTACAGTGTATTTTCATTCATCTCAATTCCTACTTTTTACAACAACAAAAAACTTGTTTACTGCTCTTATAAAGTGATTCGTGAATGTGTTCCGAGCGCGTTCCGGAGTTCACAAAGTGGAGAAATACAGGGACCAATGTACATAAAATAGAGAAAAGAGCGTCGAAACACGCTTAGAGCACATTTACGAATACAACCCTTACAAGTCACAAAAGGAATGGGAAAATATAGCACGTAAAAAAATGACACTTCAAGGAACAGTCACGACTAAGACCAAAGGGATAATTTAAACGAATCTACTTGATCCGTAGAGTTGGGAAGCACTACCACCAGATACAGCTACGTTCACACCGGACATCACGCCACTGATCCTTTCAGCTCACAGAGATAATTATGAGATCATTAAGATCCTGCTGGATCGAGGATCAACCTTACCGATGCCCCACGACGTGCGATGCGGGTGAGTTCACAAGGGTGTCCAATTACTCAAAAATGAAAATTTAACGTTGTTATCCTTAAAGAAAAAATTTTTTAAACCGTCCAACTGTTAAATATATACTTTTTTTAAATACAGTTGTGACGAGTGCGTGACCTCTAGAATGGAAGACTCCCTAAGGCATTCCAGGAGTAGGATAAATGCGTACAGGGCTCTGGCGTCGCCTTCTTTGATAGCCTTATCCTCGAAGGATCCTATTCTGACGGCTTTTGAACTTTCTTGGGAATTACGAAGGCTTTCCTTCCTGGAGCACGAATTCAAGTGTGAATACCAGGTGTGATTCGAGAGAATGTTACATTTCTATGGACATACATATGCGTATTGCGCTTTGTATATACATATACATATATACATATATATTAGAAATACTTTAAGTTAGATCTTTCTACATTTTAAAGGAAACACCCTGTGAGCTTTAAGGATAGACGTATAAATATGTATACCAACAAGTCAGTTCAGCTTCCGCATATATCCATATGTATATAGTCCTCCAGAAAACTTCGACAACTTCGCTGACTCGACGCTTTACGACTGCCTCCCTCTCTATTTACCACTCATCCTACGGGAACCCTCTTTTCCTCTTTCATTCCTTTCTGGATAAACATGCTGTTTCTCGCAAGCCATAGCGTACTGCCTTTAAACGCAGAAGTCCAAGCGAGCTTAGGTTTGATTCAGTGCTGTATAAATGAAATCCAGCAAAGTCGGTCGATCTTCTTTACCGATAATCATCAGTTCTACAATACCGACAGAGTTTTATTTTATTGATTAATAATATTTTCAACAATCCTCCCAGCTTTAATTGCACGCTTTCTCTCTGTCTCTCTCTCTCTCTCTCTCTCTCTCTCTCTCTCTCTCTTTCTAAAAAAAAACTTGATTATCTTATTCAGGAATTGAGACGACAGTGTCAGGACTTTGCCACGGCTCTCCTGGATCATACCAGGAGTTCTTACGAACTGGAGGTCTTGTTGAATCACGATCCCACGGGACCCGCCTTCGAGCATGGCGAAAGAATGCACTTAAATCGTCTCAAGTTGGCCATTAAGCTACGTCAAAAAAAAGTACGTGCCATCTACAGTTAACTTATACACCCCATAGATACCCTACACTTTTACGTAACTTTTTATATATCCATATAAGAGGGAATTAGTCGTGGAAGGACTTTTATCCAGGGATTATATATCCCTTCTAATCATTATCCGCTCCCAACAACGTCCTCACGTATATTCTCCCTCCAGATCCTCACCAGAATAGCAAATTAGAATTTCATGGATTATACTTTGCTATTGCAGTTTGTGGCACATCCAAACGTGCAGCAGCTACTTGCCTCCATTTGGTACGAAGGGCTGCCAGGATTCCGTCGAAAAAATATGGTACTCCAGGCTTTGGAAATCGTCAGGATTGGTATTCTGTTTCCATTCTTGAGCGTGGCTTACATAATTGCCCCTCATAGCGTAATGGGACAAACGATGAGGAAGCCATTTATCAAGTTCATCTGCCACTCAGCATCATACTTCACTTTCCTTTGTAAGTCGTTAACATCAAAAGTTAAAGAAGGCAGGAAGAATAACCGTCAATTAAAAAAAGATTTTGATCCTTTTTGAAAAATCGTATCGCTGCCATCGATGATCAACGTATATGCCAACGTCTAATGCTATTATCGCTCTGCGAGAAATAGCCGTGGCTATTTGTAAACTGTTTGGAAATGCCAAAAGGGAGCGAATGTTTGATCGCAGCGACGTGCTGGAATCTAAAATAACGATGGCGGAAACGTCCCGTTTGGACTCTGATAAACTTCCGAGGAAATACTATTATTATTACTTGCATTATTGTTATTATCATTGCTATTTTATTAATATTACATTCGTTATATGAAATATATGCAAATTTCATAATCTATTAACGAGAAATATTAAATTCGAATAATTATTCCCATTTTTATTATAATTTTTTTTCAACCATACTCATAGTACTTCATATTATTCTTCCTATTTGTACCATTCGAAAATTTCTCTTCGTACATAAAATGTTATTAGCTATTTCATTCTCTCTCTCTCTCTCTCTCTCTCTCTCTGCCTTTTTCCATCTCTCGGTCTATTTATCTCTCCGATGTCCTCTCTGAAATTTAATGCACTCGGAGGATATTACGAACGGGAAATTTCACGACGTTATCCTGAATATAACTGAGAGCCAGAAGTACGATAAGGATCCCGAGGGAACGTTACAAAAATTATTCGTCAGAGCTTGTTTAGTTCCTGCCTTCAAATCTGAAATACTCTAGAGCATCACGACGCAAGAATCAAGAGACTGCATAGACACTTTAAGGTATAAGTAAAATAAATAATATCTATTCTTACATTTCTAGTCATGCTAATTCTGGCCAGTCAAAGGATAGAGAGCGTTATCGGGAATTGGATGGGTCATGACATTCCAGAACACGAACCGGCACCCACGAAGAGAGGAGCAGCTCCTACGATAGTCGAATGGCAAGTTTCTTACTTTTGACATTGGTTTAGAAGCAGTTTTGTTCCCTTTGAATTGGACTTCTCTTAGCTATTTTTAAGCGTCAGCATGAGTGATCTAGGTACTTACTCTTTGCACAGGTTTATACTGGCTTGGGTCTCCGGTCTCATTTGGTCTGAAGTAAAGCAACTGTGGGACGTGGGTCTGGAAGAGTACGTGAACGACATGTGGAACGTAATAGATTTCGTCACGAACTCTCTCTACGTGGCCACGGTCGCCCTGAGGGTCGTCGCCTACTATAGGGTTCAGAAGGAGAATGAGGGACAGGATCCAGAATCGGTCGTTGAACTTCAAAGGGAACAGTGGGATACTTGGGATCCTATGCTCATATCCGAAGGCTTATTTTCTGCGGCCAATATTTTCAGGTAGGAATTCAATATCTTATCTTTCACGAAATCTTATTGTTAGCTGAAAAATGGAAAGAAACAAACTGGGCTTTACTGCAGTTTTCACTTTGTCTTCTTTTCACTCCTCTTCTTTTCAGCTCTTTGAAGCTCGTTTATATATTCTCTGTGAATCCGCACTTGGGACCACTTCAAGTATCACTCTCCAGGATGGTCATGGATATTATGAAATTCTTCTTTCTTTACGTCCTGGTATTATTTGCTTTCTCTTGTGGTAAGTTTCTTTATGTTGATCGTTGCATCGTCTTTAATTAATATTGTGACTATTTAATTATTTTCCTTCAGGTCTCAATCAATTACTTTGGTACTATGCTGATATGGAGAAGAAAAGGTGTCCCAGTGCGATGCCTTATCCGCCCAATGCGAATATCACTACGGATTCAAATGCTTGTGTAGTCTGGAGAAGATTTGCCAAGTGCGTTAAAGAAGTTTCTATGTGGATTCGAGACAATGTAACGAATGCAATAAATCAATATTAAAATCCTTTCAGTCTGTTCGAAACGACCCAAACACTCTTCTGGGCGGTTTTTGGACTGGTGGATCTTGAAAGCTTCGAACTGGATGGCATTAAAGTATTCACGAGATTCTGGGGCATGCTGATGTTCGGAACATACTCGGTGATCAACATAGTCGTCCTGCTCAATCTCCTCATCGCCATGATGAATCATTCCTACCAGTTAATTTCCGTAAGTGTGATTCTGCATACCAGAACGCAAATAATGGGTGATCCCGAAAATCTTATTCGGCTTATCATTTTATTACGTCACTCCGTTACATTCGTTCACTGTAGGAAAGAGCTGACGTCGAATGGAAATTCGCCAGAAGTAAATTATGGATAAGTTATTTTGAAGAAGGTGGTACTGTACCCCCACCATTTAATATCATACCAACCCCTAAGAGTGCCTGGTATGTCGGGCAATGGGTTTATAGAAAGCTTTGTGGTCACAGTCGAGCAGCCAAGAAAGAGCACATGCGAACGATAAGGGTAACTCAATGAATCTATATTCTAGAAGGCGAGCAATTTATTTGTAACTGATGTTAACGTGCTTTGAGAAATTGGACTGCTTACAGAGAAAAGTGAAACAGGCGTCGGAAAGGGATTTTCGTTATCAGAGTATCATGAGAAATTTGGTGAGGCGCTACGTGACTGTGGAACAAAGAAAGACGGAGGGTGAAGGCGTCACTGAGGACGACGTAAACGAGATTAAGCAGGACATTAGTGCGTTTCGTTGTGAACTTATTGAAATTTTAAAAAATTCAGGAATGAACACATCTACAGCTGCTGGTACCGGTACAGGTGAGAATTGTATCATAGGTATTAATATTTAAATTATTATAGAAACGCTTCGTGTAGAACTTTTTACGTAACCATTAGTCAATCTTTTTTTTAATCTAGTACCCAATACTCTTTACGTTCATTTTATATTCTTTTAATTTTCGTAGTTCGCTTTAGAATTCTCTTTTTTTTGCTTTTCTGTTGGTACCGTTAGACGGTGGCTTCAAAGCGCTCTCCATAGGTGCAGGCGGTAAGAAGAATCGTCAGAAAGAACGAAGACTCATGAAAGGGTTCAACATCGCACCCCAACCGGGCGGAAGTGGTACCTTACCACCAGTAGCCGAATTCATAGCGTCTTTGCAGCAAGTTCATCACGAGAATCAGCATCATGATTTGTTCGGTAGTACTCTCAGCGGTATTTTTGGTCCTGGTGCAACGCCAAAAAAGAGTCCACATCATACAAGTACGAACAGTGTACCAGGATTGGGTACAGGACCTAGACAAATTCGTGGTGCTCGTGGTAGCTCAAGGAAGAAACGTTGGGGTACATTGATCGAAGCTGCTAAAGCTGGAAGAGTTTCTAGACTTATAGGTAAATCATGAAATACGATATAAACAAAATAGAACTGAAGAGGTCCTTACCGTAGGACATTGGTCCTTATAGGCAGATCACGTTCAGAGGACTCCGTATACTCACCTGGATCAGAGGATGGCGGATCACGTTCAGAGGGTTCATCCGATTCGAAATCATCCCTAGAAGCCCCTGCACACGAAGCGCATCAGCATCATCCGACCCATCATCCGCATAATCCCCATCATTACGAGGCCCATCACATGTTCGCCCACGGCTTGGGTCCAGCTCTGGCAGCTCTTAGGAAGAAACGCAAGAAATTCTCAGCATCTCGTGCATCCACTCCAGTCATGGTTAGCCACGTGAATCCTGTGGAGAGCGTGATGCATCCGATAGCTGCTGCATTCGCTTCCAGAGTCTCGAGGAAGCAACTACAGCGTGCTAGCAGCGTACCAACCCGTGGTCCCGACCTGACGCCGCAGACGATACCGCCCCGACGACACGAGGTCACGCAGAGTCAGCAACCCAGTCTGGACGCCGTGGAGGTGGTCAATGCTAACGAACAGCAAGGTACGCGTACCACAATAGGAACGTAAAATATTTTTGTCCCTTTGACACAATTTTTCTTCCTGTTATTCTTCACTTTTAGATATTGTTATGAGTGCAGCACCGTTGACGCCATCGACCACTGAGGAAAGTGTGATAGCATCCGGTGGTATGACTGGCACTATTAAAAGAAATGGCTCGGCCACTCAATTACAAAGACTTCCAGGCATCGAGCCGATATCCGGTCACGACGTTTCGGCGGGTTGGCTCTGAGGATTCAAAAACTCCGTGTCGCGGATGGATCGTGATAATCATGGCCCCCTCCGAGACGATGGCAGCCATAACGAGCTCTGATATCACCTAACGATGTATGGCGGTTCTTTCAACATTCGCGAGTATTATTTTTACTTTCTTTTTCTCACAGCAGAGAAGTGGAACGTGAACAAAACGAACGGCACTACTCGCAGACGCACAATGATGCCTTAATGGCAACGCGCCTATACGACTGCGTTGCTCCTACAAATTCATTCGCCGGCCTGCGCGCTCTCCTTAACTATATAACAATTACACAGAGTTTACATATTTGTATGTACTCTTTTATCATTTTATTACTCACCTCTTACTTGGCTGTATATAGATAGCCTCAATCGTAACAAAAAGTGGTTGGATTGTACCGGAATCACGTCTGCAAGAAAGAATTCAATGGGAATGAGCAAACGGGTGAAAGATGCTGCGCGAAAGTACAATGGAAATTTAGGTAAAAGGTGAGAACTACTATTACTGCCAGAAGACAGGGAGATACGTAGGTCGACGTATTTAGAAACTAGTCAACACTAGTCAACAAACCACATCAATGGAGAAATGATATAATTTTTAAGCGATTACTCATTGTGTTTGACAAATTTTAATATTGTTATTAGATTAAACGAATTACGTCCTCTGTGTGGACATCTTATAACATTTATTAGGCATTGTGCCGTCGACAATTGGAACTTCAGTGAAAGAGGATTTTCTTATACATTTATTTACAACCAATTGGCGTATTCAAGTTTTATTCACTTTCCTTTTTTCCGTATTTATTGATATAAACAGATAATACAGTGCATTAGCGTTCCTCGCTGGCCATTCAAAAGTGTTCGTGATCACCTCTCGGAGATTTAAAAAGACTCAAAATTGAAAAAGAAACAAAATCGCTTCATCGTGGCCAGAGTAAGAAAATTGAAGAAGAGAAAAAATTCAAAAAAACTGTAGAAGGTGGAAGAAACGTCATGACCAAAAAACAAAATAGACTAATAAACGTATAGTAGTGAACTAGACCGAATGAACAAAGGAAAAAAAAATTTTAATGAAAACGATAAGCGATTCATACCATTTTATCTCTTAGTATTACTTGTATGTACGATAAATTGATAATATTAATATAAGATAGCACATTAATAGGCAGCAAAGGTCAGGATCGACATGCCAAATTGGTAAATTAATCTGTGAGTACCATTCTTGAGGGTACGTACTCCAAATTTTAAATCTTCCAAAAATCCCCAAAAAAACTTTAAGATACTCACGTGCCTAAACGTATCCGATCCTGATCTAACCAAACCTGATTGTTATTTAAAACTACGTATAGACGTTTATATGAAAATTATAATAATGTAAAATTACGTAATGGAACAAAAAAATATCCTCGATGAACACGCGGATTTTAGGAAAGTTTTTATCATTCCTTTCGTTCGGCCTGCAGCTGTGACTTTCCTTCATTTCTACGGAAATAAGTGAAGATAGGAACAATGTACAGTGCAGTCTCCGTAGTTCTTCTAACTCGAAGGTGCGTTTTCTCGAAAATCCAGAACTACAGAGTTCCCCCACTTGGCCAAAAGTAAACAAGACTTCAGGATAAGACTGTAAGTCTAGCGTGGTACCCCGTTGTACGCATTTACGTATTCTCCATGCGCACCGCATCTGCAAGTAGGGAGGAAGAACCCTCTCCTTCAGTCTGGGAACGATTGAGGAGAGGCTAAGACTTATTGTTAGAGAATCTTCGAATTACAGAGAGTGCACTGTATTATAAATGTATGTGAAAAGTCAGGTTTAATTTATTTAAAATTGTTAATGCTCGTCTCGATTAAAGTTTCAACTGATCGATCAGTGATTGATCAGCCAAATGCGACTAAAAGAGAAATAAAAGGGATTCTCGTGATCCGATCGAATTATGATCTAAAACAATGAAGAGATAATTATTTGCTACGTGAATATTAAAGGAATACAAAATATACAGGGGGAGCAAAAAGTGACGATTCTAAATGGTGCTTAGATAGAGGGTGCGGATAATATTAATGAAATCGACCTAGAGAAGCCAGCGAATCGATATAAAAAATGACCATTAATAAAGTACCATTTATTCTGATACATCAGTTTGTTCGCTACCCGATGCATCTCTACAATATTTTCCTTATTTTGCTTTACTTTGACTGTATAGATATACATATATCATCATCCGCACGTGAGACTGCTGATATATTGTTTATTTCCCTCTTTTTTCTCTCTGATTATACATATTCCGAAAGATACAAAATATATTCTTTACTAAATCTACTCGCAAGGAGCCTGCTGACATCTTGCTCTACGTTGAAGCTTCCTAGGGCAAGGCTGACCGCCATTCTCGGCCTGTCGCTAAAAAAGACAATGTTAATCATTAGATGGTACAGCTTTGTTCGAATTCTTGATATTTTTAATCAGTAATTAAATGTACCTTGATCATACGGAAACTTGTGACACGTCCAGTGCCACATGTGACGCTACAGGGTGACCACGGTGACCACGGGGTAACCATACAGTCGACAGGGGGTGCTGCCAATGCTCTTGAGTCTTGTGCAGCATTAATGAGATTACTCTGAGCAGAAGGCAATGCTCTTCCCGTTACATTGGATATGACGGCAGTGCATGCATTGGTGCATTCCTCAAAAGTTAGGAAATTATTTCGGTTTCCACGGCAACCACCATACCCAAATTGAACACACATTGATTTTTGGGGATTGAACGCCCAACGTTGGAAATACGCGCGACATGGACCAGGATCAGCTTCTTCCATACAGACAACTATAATCGACGTGTTGTAAACAATTAAATTAATTATTAATCATAGTACTAATGATATTCAACATATATATATATATATATGTGTGTATATACCCTTTGCAGTTGCCATATCGAATGTACAGTCTGCTTGAACCAAACAAGGTCTTTGCTGAATCAATTCGACGCGCGACGAACATTCTTCCTGCTTGAGCGGTTCAACCATGAGTAATCTCGCTCGCATTTTTGTGCCCTTGCCGCAAGATGCGCTGCAGGGTGACCAATCACTCCAATTTGTTACCTAAAGTATCAAGGCCAAATGTAAAGGTAACAGAAACTTATTTATGTTTATGATATTACCGAAATATTTTAATTTGTTCAGCTAATTTTCAAAACAATCAAATGGTTTTTTTTATCAATTACCTTACAATTCGGATCGATAACTTCCTCTGTACCAGGTGCACACGGGGGTTCCATACATTTTTCATGCTCTATTGTCCGAACGTGTGGACACTTCTTACGACCCATTGGATTCTTAAATCTTCTGTAACGAGTCTTTTGACCAATTCCACAGGATGAAGAACACTCGGACCATGGTGTCCACTCGGTAGTCATACAAAAACCGGACGTATCCTCAATTTTCAAATCATCGTTATCTTCTTCTTGACCACTGTGGAAGTAAAAAATAGCTGACACATGCGACCGGTAGTTTATCGATCTGTTTCTTTAACATCATTTGCTCATCAATCTTATACTCACGGACACTCGGCAACCGAAGCTACACACATCTCTTTGGAAACTAATTGTCTGTTACAGTTGAACATGGCTGCCTTCTGCGGCATTCTGTATTGTCTGGTTCTCATCCTGAGACCCTTACCGCAACTTACCGAGCACGGGGACCAGTTAGTATATTCAGTAGTTGCACATTCAGCTGGAAACGTAATAATGGAAATACCTCAATGTGACTGTAAGACAAAATAATTCATAATCGATCATCCATACGTCTTGAGGTGTCCTCAGTATTTTCTGCGACGTCCAACTCAGCTATCTGTTGCTGAAGAATATCTTCGTCGCATCCACGCTGAATGATCTTGTCACGGGTCAAATACAAACGTGCCAAAGGCAACATGGGCGTGCCGGTTGGGTCATAGAATGGCGACCTGGGATCTTCCGGATATGACGTAGTGATCGGCTTCATTTTTTCCCGTGGTTTAGTCTCAGAATTGGGGGACATGTAGCTGATACCGTTATCAGTGCCAGCATCCCATGGATACAGATCTATTATCATGCTCCTCATCCACGAACAATCTTTCTGACATACATTCAATTTGCTCACACCAATCACCCAATCAGGACTTGGTCCCAGCATGGATGCCACTGATACCAGAGGATGCTTTCTATCCACTTTAAAGCTAGTAGTCGTATTAGCATTGACATTAGGATACCAAAGTCCTGCAGCCTTAATTAGGGTCTTTAAGTGCGTAGCCTGTTCGCGTAATTCAGCTTCCACCCCAGTAGCGGACCCCCATTCGGCCAGTTGACGAAAACCATCGGTGGCCACGTGGTCTCTACCCCAAAACGAAAAATTAGCTTCGTGGGAAGCACCAATTAAGTCACTAAAATGCGTTAACCAACGAGATATTGGAAAGTCTCTGGGATGAGTCTCGTTGGACCATATACCCTCGAGTGTCAGCTGGAAAAAAAAATATTTTCGTAACGCTTCTCAAGGTTATTAATTAAAATTTCTTTCCGTAATAAATTACCGAATATTTTGCTTCGTCACAAGCACAGCATTCGTCATCCCTGATGCTTCTGTCGTTATTAGGAGTCTTCTCGCACAATGTCTTTTTCAAGGTACCATCTTCGGCGTACCAGTTACCTGAACCCTCCATGACCATCGCACTGAAAACAACGCATCCTGATCCTGTCGGAGGTGCTCGCCACATGACCTGGACCTATGCCAACAAGTAGAATTAGTACTGCTTGGATAAGTAACGAAGTTTCTTGTTAATGACGGGACGTCGAGGAAATTGATTCCTTAGCGATTTGGCAAGACGCCATTATACACAGCTTGGAACGATTGATAGCGCTTGTCAATTTATCGTATGCTATCGCGCACAAAAACTCACCTCCGATTTGGGATAGTCAGTCATTTCCGAAATAGTGTTGATACAGTCTTCGTTAAAGGCTGTCAGTGCGTCTGGGAAAAGTTGGAAATAGCCAACGCGAACATTTGAATTTCGCGGTGCATGCTGGGAATCCACGGACAACGTGAACCTAGTGAACTGTTGAAGTCTGGCGTGAGTTCTGGCACCTGCAAGATTATCAATGTGATAAACGGTAGAAAAAATTACGTATTCAGAAATACACAAAGAACAAACTGTACCTTGAAGACTTATTGTGTAAACGGTATTCGCAATGTAGGTTTGCGAATTGTCACTAAGCAAAATTCGATAACCACCATCTCCGGGTGAACGTTCTGCTCTTGTATGTTGCCGCGAAGGTCTCAACGGACACGTCGCGGCGCTTAAAGCGACAAAACATGTCGCTAGTAAAAATCGTAACATTTTCCTGTAAAGCCAACAAAAATTTTTTATCAATAAATAATCAAAAGATTTTTAACTAATTTGTCAAAAAAAATTTGTCTTTTTTTTTTATTCCGACGTAAATCATATGTGTCACTGAACGGACAATGAACGGTTTCAATATTATTCTTTTGTAACTGAATAACCAACCCCTATATTTGTTATCAATCAACAACGAATTCCCCACTAAATTCCATATAGACTCTATCGGAACGATTGATTCCTCCGTGTTACGTATAGTGCGTCGACATAATTTCTCCATGAGCGTACAAACTCATATGCATTTACATGTGCATTATACCGTTCTTCGTCATCTGAATTATTGCATTGCTCTGCCAAGTCAGTACACGTGTGTATATATATATATGTATATATGGAACTGAAATGACAATAACGAGAGACGAGTGAAACTTCGCTCTATTATTCCATTATTATGCATATTTGGAGAGCGTGCAAATTAGCACGTTCAGATTTGTTATGCGGTTTCTGCTATAGGCAGTGTACCAGATGTGTATACAATTTGCACGTACATATTCACGGTTACTGTACGAGGGCTTTTTGCCGGTTCACTTTTGCCATCTTTAAATCTTCAACTTTCAAGACCTCGCGCACTCACTACGTATGTAGGCGTAGGTTTCTAGAACGCAGTTCGTATATGACCGCGTTTCGTCTAATAGGAATTATAGGATGCATCGTCTTATGCAGCTTATACATTGTCTGGTATGTAGTGTAATTTATAAATAAAAAAGTATTTTTTCTTTTAACGCAGTCTTAACGATGTTAGTTAATATGAGAATTGGCTAAACTGTAATTTAGATAAAAAAAATTTATTTTCGAGTTCATCTTGAAATTATGCATTTTCCGAATCGAATTTGAATAATGCATATAAAAACAAAAATATAAGTCGATTAATTTTTTTCTCACGTTTTCTTTGTCACTTAAAAACACTTTGATTTATTATCTCGTAATTGTAAATGTCTTACCTATAGTTGGTCGGTAGGCTTTAATCAATTATATGTAATTTCCCGTTGTGTGTACACCTTAATTTTTAAAGACCATCAGTCGCGAGCAATGCGCGAGAGCGACGAGACACGACTAAACGAAATGACGAACTGAAAGAGGCTCCTCTTAGAGATTGGGAAAGTGACCGATCGGAAATGTATGTATTGAGAAACTTGAGAGTCTGGTAATATTTCCATGAACTTCCGGCTTGATAATGAGTCGAATTTTAGTTATTACATTCTTAGTCTCCAGTATTTTAGTATTCACTAGTGAAGTTATTTGTGAAATGAAATAAAATAAATATTTGTTTAATTTTCAAATTGTCCTTTCGTTTCTCTGTACTGTTATTTGTAGCATGTTAAAAACTTCATTCGGAGTCACGAGGTCCAGACCGGGTCACCCTATCTCTGGGATACTGACTCGTTTCTTAGATAATGTATAATCATACAGTAAACGCAGCCGAACTAGTAATGGTATTTTATGCAAAAGAAATATTCAGTATTATATTAGTTTTTGATATCAGTAGTTTGTTTATTGTTTCAATTTTCTTTGCGAGTTTTCATAAATTTTCTTTTCAGCTTTGAAGATTTACTTATCGATTGATTGATAATTTTTAATAAATGGTGATTGATGAGGTTCCGTATGTATTTGCCATTAATTAGAATAAGAGATCATCTGTTGTAAACAAGAGCCAGAAAGCTACAATCTGTGATTGAATAGCGTGACAGAATAAAAGAGACTGTTATTGTAAAATTATATATGAAGGAATTGTAGATGTTCCGGTATTGAATTTATTTTAGGAAATTGAATAGGACAAATATTAATGGGAATTCTGAGTCTTTGCTATCTTTACCTAGAATCACCGGATCTAAATAGCGGGCCAGTCCTCGTAATCTCTCGAACATTGACTCCTTTCTCAGATAATATATAATCGTACATATTTTAAACACGCATTCGATTGCCATAATACTTTCTGCAAATGGAAGAATTTTCGTTCGCTGTTGTTAGATTATGTATATGATATGATAAATAAATATTTTGTTAGATAAAAGCAATAATCAGCAGCGTATACAAATTTGAAGGGAATTTGGGAAGAAATTTCTATTTATTTTTCGTTCTTGTACAAAGGTGTAATAATAATTATCAAGTGTACAATGAGAACATGTGGTAATTGGCAAGGTATGCAAAATTAATGAGGTTCTAAGAAAATTTGTTGTGCTCATTTATTATTTTTTCATGATTCATTAACAGAATAATCAATAATGGCTGCGTTCAGTAGATACAGCGCCGAGAGAGCAAAAGGCCTTTAATTGATCAAATTTTACAACTGTTGCAAGTTTTATAATAAATTGACAAATGAAATGAATTTGTTCCCTCAATATTGCTGAATACGGTCATCGTTCTATTGTACAACGCACGTATTTATCAACTGCAGATGCCTAGGCGATTTACACGCTTCAATTCTTCGCAGTAACATAACCAAGAAGTAATATTAGAAAATTTATACGTTGACGATACCAAAAGCCTGGCGCTAAATCGTAACGGCGAATCCAGAAGTAGGATTTTGTGATTGTCGTCTCCGTCGATAATGTAGTGCTCGTAGTCAAGCTGAACGTTCGGAACTCAACACAGAACAACATTGGAAGCCGGCACGTCATGCCTGCCTGCACTGAAAGCAGCTCAACTTCACACCCGTGTAGCACGTCAATTATTGAAAACTGTTTCATCAATAGGCTTTTTCAATAGTTCTGGAGGAGCTCAATTGTTTCTGATAGGTTTAACAATGGTTCTGCTACTTAACATCGGTAAAATATCTATTAAAGATACTGGTGGCACGAAACGCTTCGGTACAGGCAGGGATGTGGTGCTGACTTCCCGTGTTGAACATAGTTCCGCTCGCAAGGTTCACATACATGCAGTGAACCTTATACGATAAAATGATTCGTCGGCAAACGATGAATCTTCGCCGATAAGGAACTTTCTACGTTCGGAATCATTTTAACTTAGAAAGTTTCTTCGTTGTCTCAAAGATGGCGCCACATACGCTGTCTGGAAGTGCACGCCTTTATCGACGAAAATTCGAACTAATGATAATTCATGTAATTCAATTTGGACCACTATAGTTTCTGAATTAAAAATACTACAAATATTAAGAAAAAAGCTGAATTCCCAGCCGTTTCTGGTGTATAGCATCCCAAAAGTGCAACCTTGAGTATTTTTCAAAATCCATAGAATCGCCGCTCTGAAGAGTCGGCTACTTTTGTTATTTCAGTAGAAGGTAGTATTGATAAAGAAAAATGAAGTCAGGAAATGAATACTGAATGAATGAGGAATAAAATAAGGGAAGACATAAAGAAAGAGATAAATAAAAAAGTAAAGAAAAAATAAACTGAGCTGATATCTGTGATCTGGCTTCACATAACGGCCTCGAGAGGCCCTTCTTATCTCTCTTACATTTGTTACAATAGAATTTCAATACGAAAATTCTTCCCCCCCTCTTTATTATAATAAAACCTTGTCGCTATCAGCACAGTGCGAATGAAAATTATCTTTTTGAAATTATTGGACTTTATGAAAAAAGCCAAGTTACACTCTTTGACTGTATTGATGATAGTTGTGTTCCTTTTTTACATTCTTAATTTTGTAAAATTACCTCAAAAAACATTTATAAATTTCCTAAATTTCACGTACTTAGATTATTTGGCTTTATTGATACTATCATAATGGTCGATCGTAATAATAATTATGATGCGCAAATTTAATCAATTTTTCTACAAAACTTTATTGGTAGTACTCTATACATCTTTCCATCGATTTTATTTGAATTTCTCAATGACAAATAATCAATATCAACGGATGGGCCAACAATTTTAAATGATGATGATATCTTTGAATGACCTTGGATAAGGTTCTCTGTACTTGGATCTTTTTCGCTTTTATCGCATACTGTAATTATATCAATATCTTCGTTATCTGTATCAACACAGGAATCAGTTTCACTATCTATAAATAATTAAACAGTAAATCAATATAAATTTTTACGAGTATTGACGATATTATAAATTTATTAAAAACTAAGTTATTATTAAATGATTCTAAATGCTTTAATATATATAAAATTCATACCGATATCAATTTTCTCAATGATAGTCAAGTACTCGCGAATATTCGTATTACTTGGCTCTTTGGCGAGAACTGTAATATCAAAATCAGTCGCAATTATCTCATTAGCAATATTGGGTTATCAAAGAAAACTCACTGGAGCGTCCTATTTCCATAGCTGTGACGAAATCTCTAGTCATAATGGCAATGACAAACTGAAAAATGAATATTTTCTAATTATCTCACAACCGATAGAAGTATATAATATATAGACAAATTTTGTATATAAAATTATACCTGTATTTTTTCCCAGTCGTCGGTACTATCGTTCATTGTAATTCAGTGTCAAGTATTTTATAAAATATATAAATCGGTGGAATTATTTGTTTCTTCTTCCTCACTGATTTATATTTCAAATAAATATTCTTCAAAAATAGTATCTTCAACCCGTGGTATATAAAATTGATTACAAGGTTAACACACGTTCAAAGAAAACTCTTATACAGGGAAAAGGATCCAGCACATTTTTTCATTAAACAGAATGATTCATAGAAGTTTCGTCTTTGAATAATAAAATATTGCTTAATACGTTGAACACAAAATATACTAAAAGTATTTTTACACAAATTTTGAATTTTTAAATAGAAATCAAAAAAACCAAATGACATGAATATAGTATAAATCCAATTATCAATTATTTTTTTGCGATTTTCTTCTGGTTGATCATAAATTTAGTAAACCCATGGAAAACATGGTCAGCTGGAAGAAAGAGATAGCGACTGATGGCGGCCAAGCCTTGTCTCTTTCTAATCAGTAGCGTAGTAAGATGTTTGAGCATAATAAATTCTAAATTCTAAATATTCGTATTGTTTTCTAAATTTATATAAAAGCTGTCTGATCTATTAGTAAATTCTACTTATTGTTATTTTCATATATTTTAGACATTTGGAAACTAAGGTTTTTATATAATTTTCGGAAAGTGAATCGTGGGAAAAGGTAACAATATGGAAGAATTTATATGCACAATGTATTTTTGGCATATCGCAATATATTTTTGTTACAAAATTAATAATTAATCGTTTAACACAGTTTTACATTATAATATTCAATCTTGCAAGTCAAAATAAGCACTACGCCACGCAATTTATAAGCAAAGGGATCAGCGTCTAACAGTACATTCCTGAGATCCTCTGAGCGATAAAAAAGTAGCCAATAGGAACAATAGAAAAGAGAGCTATTGGCCGCCACCTCGCTCTCTCTTTGTCTATTCGAGCCGACACTTTTTCAATGAGCTCAAAGTACGGATCGCGTAGTCCATGCTGTATGTCGATGGTCGAAATGCTGAATGAGTCACCGCTGCCAACGTCACGAAAAATGTTTCCAATATAAGGCATATATAATATATATGTAGGTATATCAATCGATAAATTTCGTAGTGTACCATTCAGGGTCATGACTGTTATACAATACCACCTACTTACCTGTACGTACAAAAATTCATATTACCAATTTAAAATAATAAAAGAGAAATTCCCTCTCTCTCTCTCTCTCTCTCTCTCTTCTGTAGTTCCCCCCATATGTATAATAATTCTTTCTGGGAAACAGGACGCAGCAACACAAAAATGCGGAAGACAGAAAGAGACGTTAAAGGTACAAGGTTCAGTAATTTTGGAAAGCCATTGAACTTTCATAAACGCATACTCTAACAGAATATCAATGTGTATAAAAATGACGTTATCGACACACGAGCGAATTCCGCATAAAGATACGAGAGAGGTTACCCACGTAACGTGCTCTAGACCAATGAGAGAGAAGTTTGAAGTAGCCTTGGTAATGACGTGGAGTTCTCTGGTACTACCCAAGCGCTTCAACCAGATTGGCCAAGTGTGACATCATACTATTCTCCCATTGGTTGTATCTGACGTAGTAGCATGCGTGCTCAAAATTAAACTGCGGTCCCATCCCGTGACCCGTAAAGTGTGGAGTCGCTCCTCGCATTCAGACATTCAGTTAACGACTTCAGCTGCGGCAGGTTGCGACGCTACGTTCGATACGCTTTCTGCACCTTGATTGTTCTAAGTCGTAAAATCTGCCTCAATTGACATTAGCACCGACAGATACATCATACCAACATCAATTTTTGTTAATTCCCAGCGACAAGGTTCAATCGCCTAAGCGAAGTACACTCCGAAAATCATAATTTCCAGGAGGGTGAGTTTGAATTATTGATGTATGTTACGTAAAGAACAAGGAATTTTTACACGAGATTGTTTTAATATAATTATTTCCTTACCTGTTATCGTACATGACAATCACGGTTCGTTGTCGCCGCTTATATTACTTATGCAATTTTGAAATAACTACTAATCCTGATTTTGACTTTCTAGAACGTTAGATCCCCTTTCAAACACACGGGCAATTTTTTAATTCCAGAAATGTTTCACCAGCCTGTTAAGGTTTGCTAACGTAATCTTGATGAAATTTAAGTCGTGCTAGAAATCATATAGATTATATAATGCTATCATTCGTAGGCATATTTGTAGTACTCGAAAATTTGTATTACGAAAAAGTACAGTTTTCCAGTACGTTCTAAACGATGACTATTCACGAGGTTTAAATTACATATATATGAAACTATATAAATGATCTGTATTAAATTTATCATATCTCCATATTATCATATTATATCTTAAATTTAATAACCCGGCGCAAAGCTGAGTCTCTTACGTAAGAGCACCAGTATCGAACGCTGGATATTCTTCAAAAATAGGTATTTTGTTCGATCTGCACGCAACGTTTGAGTGACGTTACAGCACGACTCAATTATTAAGAAAAAAATGAACTGCACCGCCAATAAATTTAACCCAGTTTGGAACCGTTTCCAGCAAAGTTATCCCCGGTTTAACCGTCGAGATTAGCCAATCAGATTGAGAATTTTCAGAAATACAGGCCATCTGATTGGCTAATCTCGTCGGTTATACCTCAGTTAATTGTAGTCGAACCGACCATTAGTAAGATATATTTTAAAAGTTCACCCAGTATTTATCTTGATTATCTTAATTGAATACATTTACAGGTCTTCGAAATCCCTCCTATCACCAACTGTCCAACGGCTAGCAACATTTCATTTGAGCAAGGAGGCGAGTTTAAAGTAAGCATGAGAACCTCACATATGTGAACGGAAGGATGGAAGAATTTTCTTATTCGAATATGCACGTCGACTTCTCTAGGTTGAAGAATCATGCATCCGTCTGCCGCATCTGTCCTCTGTTACTCGTGGCGTGAAATCAGGACCCCTGGAGGACGTCTTTTATCCGGCGGGGAATACGGAAGAGACCTATTTAAATGTAGAAACTATACCGTTGCTGAGTCCGAAGATGGAATCAGAACTATTACAGGAGTCTTGGGCGTTACCACAAAATACCCAGGAGATGACGAGTACACCGAGTCCAGTGTCATTCAACTGGGAAGAAAATTTTCAGGATCTAAGCGGATGGTGTATGGATCTTCCAATACCGTTCCCAGAACCATGCGATTTTCTTATAGGTGAAGAAACAGCTTTGAAAATATCAGGTAAATTCACCAGTCTATGATTTTCCTATATAAGCATGACTAGTGAGGAAGATAAATAAGAGAACATGGAAATTGTCGAAAAGTCATTGCAATTTATTCACACGTCTTTGCAGATACTGAAATGGATGGTAATCAGGTTTCAATTATCCAAGAGGGGGATGTCAAAGGAGCTTCAAGCGTAGAAAGTAGGCAGTTCACTACTGTTGGTGGTGATACTTCCGGCTCGAAGTTGTCCGATGTCCCTGTGATACCAACAGCCCAACAAATAAAATACGAAGAATTAACGCAATATCCGAATACATCGCACGTCCCAGAAGAAGTCAACGTACGCGACGTTTTGTTAAACTTACTCGGCACCAGCGATTCCGCAAGTCATGGTCTACCCAATATCATAGCTGAGGATGTCGCGCAGCATCCTCTGCCCTGGATCACCAACGTGGACGTCGAAGAGGATGATACAACATCCAACCATCATAAATCCTTAGTCAATATCAACGTGGATGAAACTTACACTGGGACATTAGGCTCCAACAGAAATCATCAAGATACCTGGGAGGAAGTCGTCTGTCCTAAAAAGAACTCAGAATTCGACTTGCTGTCGTATCTCAGTGACGTAAGCAACCGTTATATCAATAGCCACACCTCTTCCTAAATTAACTCTACACGTTATTAGCCAGTCAGTACAGTAGAGTTTGCAATAATAGTATTTATGTGATAATTTGATGATTTTCTTTCAGGACAAAATATTTTCATCCGCAAGTGATGATGCTACACATTCATCATTGATGTCAGAATCTACAACAGCGTCCACATTGAACAATATCAGAAATAACAATCCAAGAACAGTCCAACCAGTCCGACAACGATCGGCGCATTACTCTATAACTTCTACGTCTTCATCCGCGTCGACGTCTTCTTTATCTTCTACAGTATCATCTATTTCAACGACACAAACTTGTGAAAGCTTCTCTAAGCGTGTATCGAGAACTTCTAATCGTCATAAAACTTCGTATGAGCAACTCGTTAAGAAAGAGCCAAGGGAAAGCCGTAGGGGGGTAAAACGATACACAGAGAGTGACTCTGAGGATGATGGTGCGTCTGACTACAGTTACAGAGAATCTCGTGACAAAAATAACGAAGCCTCCAGGAGGTCACGCATGAACAAAAAGGCCAAGGAAAGAGAAATGAATAAAAAAGCCATAGACTTGGAAAAGGATAATAGGATACTTAAGATGAAGGTGGAGAAACTAGAAAAGGTAGTCATATCGATGCGCACCGCATTGTTAAATTCAGCTTTGAATAAGGACTTGCGAAAATGACAGTTCGGGGATGGCCTTAAGTTTTCATAGATCATGAATCGTTCTTAACTTATTTTATGATCAATTTGTGACATCCGTCGCTCTGCATGTTGTCCATATGATGTATGAACATCAGTACATCCTGAATTTAAAGAAAAACTCTCTTTTTCAATTTCGTAATTAACTTTGATATTTTCTTCATGATCATTATTTTTCTTGCCAGGTGATTTTTGAACAATCTTACTAATATCGACCATTTGATAATCATTTATTGTTATCTTTGTTATCATATCGCGTCTCTCGAGTTGGGTATTTTTTTACGATAAATATTTTTTAAACACTGGATGCATATTCAAACAATTGCGTTAAGGATCACAATCATCATATGAGAACAGATTGTAATTAACCAACCGATCACAATTATTTTTACTTTGTACTGTTTCTTATTTAGTGCCTATGTAAGGCTCAACAGTACGAATCAATAAATTAATCTCCAAAAACGTACCACTGACATTATTTATGAAATTAATTTTCGCTAATTTTAATCCCTAATACATATATGTACGTCACTGCAGATATCTTTTTTCTGTCTTCAACCAACTTCAAAAGTTCAACTGTTTATGTCAGAATGACAAGCTCGTTGATTTTTACAAGTTTAGAATTTCTTGAAAATTTTATTTGTTACTTTTAACTTGTTACTTGACTTTTTTTATACAATCAATGTACAAGAAACATTACGTTTTTGCATGATCATCAAAGATGAGCGTTTTCGAAAAAAGAAAATTCATTCTAGAGTATCTTTTTGATATGAGTAATTTCAAAAATTCTACTCAGGTTAACATCAGTGAAGTAAACCAGGTAACACGCAATAGAGACAGAAATTACAATTGACAATTTGAATTAAAACTTTGACTCCGATACGCATAACAACGCCAATTCAATTTTACCTGTTAACTATCAAGTGCAACACTTTAACTTTTATGACAAGTTTACTCTTGTTTAGTACAGAATCTTCCAGACTCAAGTCTAATAGTTAAGTAATAAATAGACCTGGACGTCGTTATAATCAATAGACCAAAAGATGATAAGCACCTTTATTTATATAACTAATGCTAAAGATACCTTTACCAATGGGATTTTCCACTGAGCACTACCCACCTTGTCATACTTTCATATTCGTGTGGTGAGTCATCAGAGAAAAAAAACTCAAGCGGTACTATTCACTTCATGCAGACTTCATCGCCCAAAAGTTACGAAAGCAAGAAAGAAATCGTTATGGAAGATATAAGCCCAATAGAATTAAAGTTGGACGATATAACGACCATAGGATTTGCAAAAGACACCAGTCAAGAACCTGAAGATTCAGGCGACTGGAAATATTGCGAAAGACTTCCAACCAGCTGGACTACAACTTCACGCCTACCCGAAATGGACATTGCTATGCTACAGCCATCAATCAATTCATACGGTTATGAATATAAACGAAAAAATCTGTACAGTTTATCCGATTCAAATCGTCGTACCTGTTGGCCATCTTGTTTAGCCGAATCGACCGGTAGAGTTTAGATTTGTCTTTCTTATTTTATTTAATATAATCTAAGCACTTTTTCAGAACGTCCACAAGTTGAAGCTACTGCATCAAAGAACAGCAATCTACTGTATGAGGTTAGGGAATATTTGGCAAATTATCAAGAAACTTATGGAACACCGCGTAGCGAATATTCATTTGCTGCTCTTGTCAGGGTCATGGGTCAAGCGACAGGCAGATCACTTCTAGCATTGTTCTATATCATAGTGAATGTAGCTCCTGTTGCTGAGGTGAACAAAAATTTCATAATTGATATACAACAATACAGCTGAGCCACATACCTGTTGATGTTTCAGGTCTTCCTGCACATATTGCGCTTTATACTAGACAGAGCAATAAGTATTCTGAACACGAGCGATCGTCGTCAAATATTAATCAAGTATTTTGTCCTCGGAGTGCAATTAATCAGCGTTTATATTTGTCTAGTATTTATTTTCGGCTCTATCGTCGTGCCAATCGTGCAAATGGTTTTTGGTATATTGACTAAAATCATGCTGTACGGCTGAACTGGACAATGCGAACAAGTTCACCGGCTAGGACAGAACAAATAAAATATCCGCTAACTTAAACTGTCATTAATATTAATATGACGTCTACGTATCTCAATACTGATTGAACAGTTTCGTCATAGTGGGTATACCAAAAAATGATATAAGGATGATGATGATTTTTGACGTAAATTCTATCTTAAAGGTCGAACGACTCAGTCTTGAGAAATGACTTATAGACGAAAGAATATTATCGCACAACGGTACAACGGTTTGACCGTTAAAAACGAAATATCAAGTATGCCTGTCATATTGTTTCCTTTGTTTTGAATTACGTAATCGAACAAAACGAAATATAATTCTGTCGGTATTGCGCGCACCTTCATTAAAATCGTATGAAATCATGAAAATGCTAACAAGAGTGAACAAACGAGTGATCACAATATCCTTATTATCATTAATTATCAAACGATAACAGACTCCGCAATTAATGAAGAATCGATCGTAATTTACATTGTTCTCTGCATGAGTGTCTGCACTCTAACCAATTATGCCGTGGCAATTTTTTCTTAGATATGTTTTCAAATCACCATAATCACTGTTAGAATAAGAAGTCCGAGAAAACTTGGTAAACTAAAACAACTGGCTCCACCCCATCCACACTCGATGTCTGCTTTCAGAGCTTGCGAGACGGACATGTTGTTTTTGTTGAGACAAAATGTCTCGCGCAGATTATCATCCCAACCGTTGTCCCAGCAACTAAAATCGCTTACTTCTTCGCGTTCGTAGTCACCATAAAAATTATAAGAGCCATATAACCCATAAGAACCGATGCATCTGTCTTCCAAGTACTGTCTGTGTTTACGTTGCCACATTTCGATCCAGCTTAAATAAGAACCAATTTAGATCAAGAGCTGCTTCTATTATAGTATTAAATTTTGAAAAGACCGCTTCGTCATCTTACCCAATGTCACAGTCACAGGTCAGATAGCTTCCAGCGGTACGGAGTCTCATCAGGAATCGCTTTCCTGGTACGCCTGGTTTGTGCCCGGATGACGGATTCTCAATAGTTCTTACATTACCGCCTTGGAGATGTACTGTGACGTTACGTGCATAACTTGCATGTTCAAATATGTCCCGCGGAATTGTAATCACGCTAGTGTTGTACAGAGCAAAGTGAAGATGCGGATTTCGAATTCCCTTAAAAAAAAAGTGTATTGTAGTATAAAATGTATATTAAATAGTATTTTGTTTCTAAATACCAACCCTTAGTATATCGCTATGTATAGTAACTAGGCCTTTGCCAGTTAAAGTAATATTGAACAGCTTGTATGGGAAACGTCCCTTCGTCTCCTTTTCCAAATTGGTCGAATTTTTAACCTAAATAAAAAAATTAAGATTGCTTTATGTTTCTATATAATTTCAAAGCATAACGGACACTCACATGAATTAGCAGGTCACGTAGTCCGTAATTGTACTCGAGCATATTAGGTAGATTAAAATTCTTTATTGCCGTATACGCTGATATAAGTAGCGTACGAAGTTTTGAAGCTTTGCACAAGGCGCCAGCCTAAAACAGTATATATTGCACTTTTGTTGGATATAAATAATTCATTAATAACGAATAAATAGATAGTCAATACCCACTTCAAAAATAGACAATGAAAGTTCCCTTATGTCCAATTCGATAAGGCTATCGGCAAGGCCCAAAAAGCTGGTGTTACTGATGACCGTGATAGGGTTGTAGCTAATATCAAAAATCCTTAATTCTGGTAGCGTATGAGTTATTAATGGCACAAGGGTCAAGTCATTGTGACTGAGATCGAGATGGTGCAAGGATGTGAGATTCGAAGCCATTTCCGGCGGTATTGAAGCAAGCTCATTGTCTGCCAGATAGAGTGTCCTCAGTCTACGAAGTGGCAGTTCCGGTACCTGATGAAATTCAGTGTCCAGTCAATAATACACATGAAAATTGAGATATCTCCACGAGGATAGAACGTAAGCAAAGGTACGTACGTCGCGGCATCGACATCGACATCGACGCTACGGAATTATTGGTTAGGCTGACAAATTCGTGCAATTCTTACGCCGGGAAGTGAAGGAAGATATAAGAGCCGAGAAGAATTGAAAATTGCTGGGTCCATTTTTCAACGGCCATAGATACATTCAACTAAGAACAAATAATCCTTAAAAAAAATTAATTTTTCAATCTTAGCAAGACAGCAAGATTTCATTTCCGTTCGGCTCTAAAGAGAATATGTTTCTTATGTGCCTCCTCCCTTTGAGTCTCTTGCTGGAGACTCGTCAATGTGACGTCATTAACCAACACTTACACTCAAGAGAGAAATGTTACTAAGTCCAAGTGTTAGAAGAGAATCTTCAAGTCCGTTGAACGTTCTCCCATGTGGTTCAAGGACCAATTGTTTGTTGTGACTTAGATCCAAGTACGTCAATTCAGGCAAATCAGAAAAGACTCCATCGTCGAGTCTAACCAATCTGTTGTATGAGAGATCCAGCCACGTGAGGCCCTGTACGTTTTGTTTTGAAAAACAATTATATTCATATTGAATGTGTCATTTTTGTATGCGTGTCATGCGACTTGGAAAATCAACTCTACTTACTCTTAATCTGAATAGAGCATCTGTATTGTGCACACCTGAAAGTGCGTTCCACGACATGTCCAGGATCGACAATGTCGAGGCTGCTGAGAGCGACATCATTTTTATAGGAAGTCGCATAAATTGATTATGCGAGAGATCAAGGCTTTCGATTCCAGAATCAGTGAACATGTTGTCGGACAATGTACGTAACTTATTATGAGATAGATCAAGTATACGTAATTTTTTCAAAGGCCTCAGAGCCTCTGCCGGTATATCTAACAATTCGTTCCATGATAACAAGAGAACCTGCGTTTAAAAATGATCATTCATTTATATCATTTCATATAACGAATTGATCTCTTTCGATTTACAAGGATAAATTTAATAAGCCATTCGACCTGTAAGTCCTTTGTGTTCCTAAAGCAATCAAACTCCACTTCCACCAGATCATTGTAACTGAGATCAAGCCATTGTAAGTGATGTAGATTTCCAAAAACTCCTTGGGTCACGTTGCCAATTTCGTTATGCGACAGATAAAGATGGGTCAGTGAAAATTCTACAGGTTTGAAGTAATACTTCATTATGTCGGATATATTGTTGTGACTCAAATCCAATACTTTTATGTTGGATTGTAAGTTGCCGCCAACTGAAACAAATATAGTTGTTTACTTGACGTGCATTATTGTGACTCTGCATCTAAGCCACTATAAGCACTCGCGCATGCGCGGTTGACAATCGCCAAGAGGAGGTTAATCGGATCAACTCGATAATTAATCATTGATTTATTCAAGGCTGTACTTTATTACTCACCGTTTGTCGGTGGTGGAAAGGTTGTGACGTTAATCCATAATTTTGGAATTTTATTGTAACTAGCGTTCACTTTGAAAGAGGATAAAGTACCGACTTGATCGAATGACATGAAATCAAATTCATTGAGATCGTTATAGGCCAGATCCAAAAATTCAAGGTATGGCAAATTCTAAAAGATTGGAAGAAAAAAAACATAATATAATCCTGTATTATCTCATTACTGATTTGGATTAATGAATTAACCTGAAAAGCTTCGTCGGTGATATCTTTGATGTTATTTCCACGCAAATTAATGTACTTCAAGCGATTCATGTTCATGAAAGCCCGCCTTTCGATTCTAGCTATAGCATTGTCACCCAAATTTATAATTGTTAATAATGACAGATCCACAAAAGTATGTGCTTGTAAATTCTTTACTTGATTGAATGAGAGATCTATTTCCTCGAGGGAGGAATGTATATCACCCTGTAAAATTAATGCATTTAAAACTAAAAAATGACAATTTTTACTCTATACAAAATGTAACGTTACCCACCTGGAACGTACCCTTACGTATGCTTTCTATTTCATTGTCCTGCAACTCGATGCGCCTTATTCTTTTTAAGAAATGGAAACACGTGTCAGGCATTGCTTGGATTTTATTATTACTAAAATCCAAATGTTGCAAATTCGTAAGAGATTTGAGCGGTCCACTTGGCAATTCAGAAATGGACCTTGCAAGACCATAAGATATTTTTAATGTAAGAAGGGAATGTCCCACCTACAAAAAAAAACGTTAAAAAATAATTACACTGCGTTTGATATTTAAGTACCACGAATAAAAAAAAGTTGTTAAATACCTCAGAAAACGCGTCATTTTCGATGGAGGATATAGCATTTTCAGAAAAATCTAAATACTTTATTCCACGAACATGCATGAACGCATGTGCCTTTATGGTGTCCAAATTACTTTGAGTGATCTTCAACTCCTTAATGTCCATTCCGAATTCCAAAAAATCATCCGGCGACAACGTTGACTGTGGCATACGGGAGATTGCGAGAAATCGTAAGTTACGCATTTGCCTTAAATCCTGAAGAGACATAGGATTGTTCTTCTTTCCACTCAAATCCAAATTATATAACGAATACTGAAATCCGTTGAATACTTCAGCTGTAAAATTTAATTAATAATGAACCCCTCGGTCATGATCTTACATTTATTTTATATTCGATTAACACAATCTTATAAACACTATATGAAATAAAGATCAAATACTTGGTGCAAATGAATTAATCTGATTCTCCCGAAAGATCAGGGTCCTCAGAAAATCAAATTCATGGAACAATCTAGTAGGGAGATCGGTTATATTATTCCCAGACACATCAAGAGACTCCAGCGACGATTCCAATCCAGAAAAATCCGGTGAGCTCACTTCGAGGAGATCGCAGTCGGTAAAGTAGAGTTCGCGAATCCTCGAGTCCCTGAAGGCACCTTCCTGCAAATTATAACAAAAAATGATACAGATAACTATCTAAGGACAAAAAACCGTTATCGGAAACCGATAAAAGCCGTTAAAAAATTGCACCTCAATAACCGACAATGGATTGCCATTAAAATATGTTTTGTTGACTTTAAAAAAATGCTGAAACGATCCCATCGGCAGAGTTTCAAGTTGATTATAATCCAGTCTCAGAACATCCAAAGATATTTGAAGTCCACGTATCTCAGCTTCGACCTGGGGCTGAATCATTTTCGAAATTCTATTATAACTAAGATCAAGAACCTTCATACGTTTCAGAGATGAAATCTGAGTGTAAGGAATATTCGTAAGCTGATTGTCACTCAAATATAAATGACTAAGCTGTCCCATGCCATCTCGAAATACAGTAGGATCGATCTCCTTAAGATGATTTTCACGCAGATCAAGTGTCTCCAAATAAGTCAATCCGGCAAATGCATCCGCAGGAAGTTTGTCAATAGCATTCTCAGCAAGAAGTAAAGTCAATAACGATCTTTCCAATCCCCGCCAATTGTCCGGGGCGATGCTGGTTATTTTATTTCCTAAAAGATAAAAAAATCACCAATCCCCGTTAATTAATGTACACCCAACTATATACTACAATATAAAAAAAAAACCATTACCTGTCAGGTCAAGAAGTCGTATCTTTTGCATATGACGGAATGACTTGCTAGGTATCCGCACGAGTTCATTATACGGTAATTCAAGTTCCCAGAGAGATCGCTCAAGCCCTAGAAAAGCTTCATCCGGTATGTCAGACAGCGGATTGTGCTTAATTTGTAACTTGTAAAGACCTACGTATAAAGAACTGTGTCATACAACATACGGTACAAGGAAATTTCAATTACAATGACAATTTTTTATTTCTTAGCTGATTCCCATTATATCAGAAATAAAAAAATTGTCATTACACGTAATTGTTACGGAAGGTACGTACCTGAAACTCGTTATGGTACGATTATCTAAAGAAACCGCATAACTTAATACCGAAACAGCAAATACCTGTATTTAGAAGAAACTGTGGCTGCAATGAACGCAATCCATTGTTCTCCAGTTGCAACATAAAGATCTTAGAAGAATTGATGGGTTGCGGTATCCTCGTCATTGGAACATTATTGCAGGTGACAATACCAAGGTCAGGTATGGCTTTGGAGCAGGTACAAAGAGGATTGAAGAAGCAGGGTGGATACTGAACCGGGATCTCATGCATCCTGACCATAGACGCCCAAAACATCAGTATCAAGGTAATAATCAACATGACGTAGCCAAGCTTGACGAAAGTTCCCAAATTCTGAAAGTTCAGTAAGATGTAAGTTCAGTAAAAAAGTTCAGTTGTCTGACAATCAAAATATCAAGCCCTGGAATCACTCTTAGAGTATCTATAATCTATGACCTATCTCTTGTCAATATATTCTAAAATAGTCCAGCGTCTCCTGGCACAAATTGTATTACCATTTTTATTTAAGTGACGTTGCGAGTGCCGCAACTTGCGGCTAGAACCGAGGCGTGTCAACTGATTCGCGAGACTGATTCACAATTTTGTGGTCTTTACAGCTACGAAGTGCCCGAGTGACCGTAAAATAGGGCTTCCGAAGTAGGCAGGTAGTTTTGCTGCTTCACTTTACCCGATTATGCGGACGATATTCTATTAGGTGTATGCATGGAAGTAACCCCGGTGAAGGCAGCCATTATATATTATATACCTAACCATGGTACAGGTATTTCTCATAGATGTAGATATGTTATAAATGTCTAGAACACTGATCTTGACTTATGAACTATGACAGTGAAGGACGTTACAAACATAAACCATAATTCTCAAATAATACAAAGTGACTAGGTACATTTTTAATTTTTAAAATATTTCCAAACTCATAATTTTGTAAAGATGGATTTATCTTCGCGCAAGGGCTCCCCACTTTTATTAAATCTTCCATGCTCGACTTACAATCTAGAGCCAAGTGGATAGAACTACATCAATCCGGTTTTGTTACAGTTGTGAGAATTTACAGGTATTAGTTACATAGGTCACTGATCGTATCTTCTTTAGGTACTATTGCGCATATATATACATATATACATAGTATAGAATATTCGTGTAGTGGTATTTATCGAAACGTTGATCGAGTTCACGAGGAGAGCATTTAGAATTTTTGATAGATTTTCTTATGATGTAGACTTCTATTACGTCATTGGATGAAGTGTCCACCTGCTAATAGTCACGTCACGGACTGACAGTCCACAGCAATCGTTTTTCTTTTAGTTTCAACAATACTTTATAATCTGATGACTCTGTCTTTTCAATATTTTATTATAAATATTTATTCTATAAATATTAATTTTTAATTGTACATAAAAGTTTTTACTAATTTCGTGTTCAGAACCCTGAAAAACACCGCGGAAACCTAGTTACTGGAATGTGAATTGAGAGCCCACGAGCAACCAACAACGCCCAAACATCATGCGCAACTACTGCAGGGTCAATTAGTTGCGCGTGTGGAACGTGTAAATATTCTTCTCCGCGTGGGGATGCATGGATGCGCATGAAATAACGTTTAGATATCTCCTGTAAATCGTAGCAAAAAATTAAGGTTAATTGAAAAAGATTTTATAACCCAATACAACGGTAATGGCAGTAAGGCTGATTAACATCAAGCTAGAAATACTGCATGTACGACTTAAATGAAGGAAATTTGATAGGAATTAACCAAATAGCAGGCACGAAATATTGCAACGATAAATAACGGTTATTTTTATTAAAAGTATTCATGGAAAAATATGTTTGTCTATATAAAAATATTCGACTATATCAAAAATATCGAAAATAGCCGCGTTTTAGGACAAGAGGAACTGACAATATTCCGAATATCCGATTATGCATTAATAAATTTTATGCGCATGGCCATTAGGAGTCTCTTGAGTAACACCATGAGTTTCCATTCCACGGTTTGAACTTGAGAAAAGTTTCATAAATCGTGGAAGAACAACCAGCGCGACTAATCCCAATATATGGGGAACCAGGTACAAAGATCTGTAAAAAAAAAAACGTAAGTAAAAAAGATCATTAACGGCTCCCTTTCCATACAATTAATTATACAGTTGAAAATTGACACTATAATTTCATACGTACAGGTACAGTCTGATACTGGGCATAAACTCCAGGAGAATAAAGCTAAACGTACAGTAAGCCATGACTAATCTGGTCGCGATGAAAGTCAAAACGTCATAGAAGAACTTGGCAGTCCTTGTGCCTAGGAAGAGAGGTCGAACGTTGCGACGCACCTGAATATACGTAAGAAACAAATAAACAAAAAATATTCATGAGCTAAAAAAATAAAAAATTAACCATTACACTGATGAATATAATTTTTTTAGTCCTTACAGCGCGCGAAGCGAAGGTAAATAATGCTCCACTGGCAAATGTGAGGTAGTATCCTGGATAAAAACCGTGCCAAATAGCAGAAAGCGCATAGGTTAATATCGTCCCATTTTTCTTGACCCTCTCATAGACAATCATCCGGAGCCAACGGTTGGTACCTTTGTTCCACTGCTCGATAGCATCCTTAAGACTAAGAGATGTCTATTGGGAGAAAAGCAGAATATAAGAATATATTATATTTATAAACCTAATTAATAATAGTTCTACCTCAAACTTAATAACGTCGACGTTTGACACGAGATCCCATTTTAGTTTACCAGTCTCGTCATATCCGTTAAACCCAAGACCAGACTCATTGCAAATAGCGTCGGCAAACAACCAAGCATGATAATACTTAAAACGCACTAACATTGTGGCTATCATCAAATACCAGAATTTGTATAAGAATGAACTCTTCTCTAGAAACTCATCATCTGAAAAAGATGCATATTTGATTTATACCTGTTTCTTTGAAATGGCGTCTACGAAAAAAATATAAAAAAAGCAGATTTCATACGAGGATCAAACCTTTTATTCGTTGAATAGGAAACGAAGGTATCAAGTTGACAAAAATAATGGCACACATCAAACTCCCTAATACTTTTTTTATCACCACCAATCCTGGTGATGGCTCCAGAATGATTTCATGCCCCATACCGGATCTTTCATCATGGTAACCCTGAAGGATTCATATTTGTTTCAATGTGAACATTCTCGAAAATTATTCATATAAATGATTTTTTACCGTGAGAGATTTTGCACCACGTATTTTACTTCCGTGTATGAAATCTATGTAATCTCTATAGAATATAATCGGTCCCGCCATCAGTGCTTGGAAGTGGAAGACGTAGCTGAAGTATTCCAAAGCCGTTGGTAGCTTTCTAAAACGAAGAAGAGTTGCGCCTGGTATATACAACCTTAACGATGATGATGTCTTAAACGGAAATAGAACATACCGAATGGCATAGTAACGTTGAGATGGTGTTAATTCGTCATCGCGACGTGTAAAGCCGTCGTGTACGTTGAAAGCCAGACTAGTTACTTTTTGTGTGATTACCATCAGAGGTCCTGTTAATATTTAAAAATTCAATTAGAAAATAAGTCTATCGGTATTAAACAACGAAATATTGATATTACACTACTAAAGACACTACAAATCATACCAGTGATATCAAGTGTATAGGATCCATAATCATAGAGTTGACGGTGAAAATGTATGCAGGAAAGGTAGAACAGTGCAACAGCAAGTACCATCCTAAAGAATGGAAAATTTCAAAATTAATTTAAATGAAAATGATTAAAATTAAAACCTTCGAAACGAATATTCAGATACCTTTGCATAATTTTGGGGTCTTGCGTACGCATCACAATGTAACATAGCGCTGGTAATCCAGCCAGATGCACTGCCTGTCTGCAACGATATTATGTTACATATGACATTCGTATGTCACATGCAGAATAAATATCAACAAGATTACAGACATCATAATTAAAAAAAAAAAAAAAAAAAAAAAAAAAAAAAAAAAAAAAAAAAAAAAAAAAAAAAAAAAAAAAAAAAAAAAAAAAAAAAAAAAAAAAAAAAAAAAAAAAAAAAAAAAAAAAAAAAAAAAAAAAAAAAAAAAAAAAAAAAAAAAAAAAGCGAAATACGTCAATCATCGCACAATATCCTTAATACTTATGCTTACGAATTAAACACGCCCTGAACGCAGGGAAAGTATTGGCTTACTTGCCGAAACAGAAGTATCCAAAGGCAAGACCTACGATGAGTCCAAAAGCATGGCGAATTGCAGGTGTAACAACGTTGGGACTTAGTGAGGTTCTCAATATACTGGCCAGGCCCAATGCAGCAAATTGCGTTATCAAGAAATTCATCTACAAAAAATCATCAATTGAAACTTTGGCAACTACTAACGCATAAAAATAAATACTATTGATTTCGGGTGGGATTAGAAGTATGTAAAAAATAATAATATTAAATAATCATTATAACGAATTGCAATGCAGGCTAAAATATATTTCAATTTTAATCTTTATACCATGTGCCTATCTATATACGACGCAGCCATGCACGAGCACCATAGTAGCAGTTTATGTTAAATAGTAACATATAAACCGTGCCTGAGTGCATTCATGTTGATTATGACAAGTTATCAATACATGTAAATTTTTTTTTTAAAATCATTTAGCATTTATAAAATTGCAAAGTGCAATTCTGATAGGCTATTTTATATGGAATATAAACATTTAAAATATTTTACATCATAAGTACATGTTTTCGTTGAGGTGATTGTCATGTGCAAATGGTCATCTTGAATTTTCAATTAAAACAATCATAAATTACCCAGCACTGATGCATTATCTTTATCCAACTAAAGTGTAAACAGATTTGTGTAAGTTCGATATTTACTAAAATGACATTTTCATAAAGACTAATTGACGAATTAAAGAAATAAAGATACATGCAAAATATTAGCACAAATATCTTTCACGTCAAGAAAATGCATGCAACTCACACCTTTATTTGTCAATCATTCTGCATAAAAGTATTATGCAAATAACAGTGAATCCTGCAGAAATCTGCATAAGAATGTATTATTATATAACATACGAACTTTAAGAAAGTATTTTCCAGTCTCCTTAACGCGTTATGCACCGTATCGGTGATCGGTGACCTGTAATAAACTTTCCGTTCAGGCCGCGTCGATCACCGATGACCGAAGCGGTCACGGTTTGGTAGTGTAGGATGGCGTGAACGAAAAAATCAGCAAAGTCAGCACTGCGCTTAATATGATAATGGTGCAAAAGCAAAATTTGTCGACTCACACATTGATTCATAGTTGCACTGGTAAATACGTACACTACTAATAACATTTAATGTTATTTAATTCTGGATCTATTCGCTTAAAATTTTTAATCTAAAGAAATTCTTATAATATTATTAGCTTCGTTTATCTCTTAAATCTCATAAAATCGTTGTCACGCGCTTAATTTAATTATATAATACTGTCCTTAATAATATTCATTCCTCGTAAGTCAATATTCTTCACGTGCTACGTCTGAGTCATGATTATAAGTGTCGATAATAAAGCAATATCATCTGATACACCATTACCTACTTACACAGCACAGAAATATTGTGTCAACATTGCCAAAAGTTTCTCTTGAAATAATGCAATATTACCGGAAATATATTGAAAATTGTTTAAATATTTCTGGAATGTTGCAGGAACTTTGCAATGTCCGCTCAGCACGTTGCAATCATAATATTGCTATAATATTGCCGGTCAATATTTCGGAAATATCAATGCATAATTGTCAACATTGCCTGTCCTTAATAATATTCATTCCTCGTAAGTCAATATTCTTCACGTGCTACGTCTGAGTCATGATTATAAGTGTCGATAATAAAGCAATATCATCTGATACACCATTACCTACTTACACAGCACAGAAATATTGTGTCAACATTGCCAAAAGTTTCTCTTGAAATAATGCAATATTACCGGAAATATATTGAAAATTGTTTAAATATTTCTGGAATGTTGCAGGAACTTTGCAATGTCCGCTCAGCACGTTGCAATCATAATATTGCTATAATATTGCCGGTCAATATTTCGGAAATATCAATGCATAATATTAATAAAATATAACAGATAGATAACTGAGAATAAATTCCAATGCCAGCAATGTATCGTGGGTTTCTTTGAGCAGGTTGCCTATACCTCCTTAAATATTACCTCGGTTGTATTTCTAAATACTCTATACAAATGCAATAATTTCACATGTAATTTTTACATGCAGAATACAAAGGTATACATCGACGGCGAAGACGAAAACCGAATAATCGACGGATTAATTATTTACCCGGTCCTACGTTTTTTCATGTGAGTTGCCTTGGCCACCTAGCGACGCGGCAGCGAACTAGTGTTCGCTCGGATACTTCGAGTCTGGTTAGGGACTCTTGTCACATATTTCAGCAATATATCAGAAAGTTTTATTTATTATATTGCCCTGAAATATTGTGCAATATTTGACATAAAGACATCAATAACATTGCTGTCGCAATGAAATATTGGAATATTGTTGTAATGTTTTCGAAATATAGTGTGCTGTGTGGGTAATACTCTAATACTATTGTAATTTATAATACTTCGCATAATTGCTAATGCTAATCAAACATATTAACCGCAAGCGCGGCAAGGATGCGAGTATTCGAAATCGTTCTTTTCTGTAATGTGCGCGCGGCCCACGCAACTACTTACATTCATTTTAAGACCATGTTTAATACGTCGCAGCATAACATTCAAGACATTTAAAATTGTTTCATTAGCAGCAATCGAACATAAAGAAATAAAGCAATCATTATAAATAAGGAGAGTAAGTGCCAAAGATGATGACGTTTCTATGACGATTTACAACGGTAAAAGTAGATGCCCAATCGAACATACCAAAGCGACGCAACGCAATGCAACGAAGGCAGAAACGCGTCTGGATTCGCTGCTTCATCGTTATTTTTAGGTCGTCGAACAAGAATTCCTTGTAGCAATATAACAAATGTTTTTCTCATTCTAATGAACGGCACCTAATGATTAAATAATTTCACCATGTCGGTTAACAGTGACAGCTCTTACATGACAGATTATAACGGTATCATTCCTCTACAGAAAAAATTCTCTGGCTTCTAAACGACTAATGCAATATTCGTATTAATATTCATGCCAAACGCAAATAACAAAATGATAATAATCAATGTCAATAAGAGTCCCGAAGTATAATTTATCAAGTACAGACTTAATATTCCTGGAATTTCTTGTACATCCGAAATAGGAACGACGTACCGGGTAGATGCTATAAAATGCCAGGCTTAACGTTAGTACCAACAAGACGCTTCTGTCAAAAGTCCAAAAGAAACAGCTCGTTTTCATCGAGCTGAACAGATCTAAAGTCTCAGGTGAGTTGCATTGAGTTTATTGTCTGCAATTATATCCTGACTCACCTGATCGATCGGAAGACCAACAATGTCCGCCAACCACACGAAAATTCGAAAGCCATCGTAATATTCGTCCCCGTACGCAGCCATTTCCGCTGTCGACTCTCACGGTACTGAAAGATAGTCGCCGCTCGACATTCACTGCTGTGTCTTTGCATCAGAGTGCCCCTACTTCACGGTACGTGAATCAGCCAACGCTGGAAAGTGACGGCAATACCAAACAGTTGGAAGCCGCTCCATATGCGTAATAAATCTATTTCATACGATGAACGAGTGAACAATACATAAATTCTGAACAAGTATCAATTTTCTGTTTATTCTTCGTATCTTGTGATATGACGATGTGGTATATTATTTTATATTATATATATTTTATTGTTCTTTATAACATTCATGCATGAACGGGGGATCCGACTATTTTAGATACGTTCCTGAACATGCCTCGGGTCCTAACGCTGTAGGATCTCTTGGCTTGAATGTCCATTCTATTCCGACCAATACCATTGACCGTTGGTGTGAACCTTTTGGTGTGTTCGGAAAAAATAACGATGCTCTCCGGCCCTGCTTGAATAACTGTTCACAGTAGAATCAGTCAAATGCATTGGAAGTCAAGGCCGACAAAGCTTCAAGTGATTTAGACGTAATAAAGATAACTAACTTTGAGAGATGAATCTTGCAGATAACATACCAATATTTTTCTGGAACCATATTAACTTTAGCTCATCATACTGCAGTTCAGGGAACCGGAGGAAATAATACATCTTCACCTTGCAATGAAAATCGTCGATCTGTCAGACCATGTCTGACAGCCTAAAAGTAAAAAAATTCTGCAACAGAAAGTTGTACCAAGTAACTGTCCTGCCGGTAAATCGTAAAAATAACATATTTATAAGGTGTATCCGCATAACGATCGCCCTTTTAATGTTAATTTATTGGAAAATGAATAATTCACTCTAAGGCGCAATAAATCGGCGTTATCAACTTACGCTTCCAGACTCTTCAGAACTGTATGATGCAAGGGTTATTTCCAGAAGAGTTCACACGTGTATATATGTATATTAAGATAGTTCCATGTATATCATTCCTGATATTCTTGGTTTACCCTTTTATCAACCACTCATGGTAAGATGAATATTTTTATGTGGTTCGTATCGCATGCACATATGGATTACACGGAGTTAACGGATATTGAAATGTGATATTAGATCAATTGTAACATATTCCATATGTCCTTGACTCTAAAATCTTTCTACGTCTAATTATAGAAGCACTGTACCTAAAACTTCATATTATAAGCACACGTGTTATTTTTCTAATTTAAAAATATTAGTATACGGGTAGAGGCGCTGTAAGCAGTCACTCTTACGTTTCATACTTATAAATACTATTATCTTCAGATTCGCCGTATTTCTTTTTTGAATTCATAAGAATAATTTCATTCTATTTTAAGTTTTTTCCCCAACAGCTAATACTTTAGAACAAAACTAAGTAAGCGGCCTTTACTGTAGCCAACGTTATTTTGCCAAAAATTACTTGGACACAAATTAAAAAACATTCCTCAATAAGCTCTGCATGAGTATTTCTCACCATCCGGTACTTGGCAGTGTAAAGATTCGGCAATGCAAAGCTTATACAGTAGCACAGGGTCAGGTGCAATGAAAAAATTTCTCTTTCGTATGGATATTGTTTTATTACAAGTATTTACAGTCATCTAATCGTGAAGATAGGACGATAGTTACAACAATAACAAGAACAGTAGCGTAGCAGCAACAATGGCATCAGTGGGAACAGTCCATCATTCATTCTAGAAGCTCTTAATGCGTCTCAGTCCACTTTATTTTGTTTCTGAGTGCGTGTTATATCACAAGACTGTAATAGGAATGATAATTACAATAGTGTACGATAATTTGTTTGTTTAGCACAATATAGCATATGTTACCTATACACTGTTAATCTCACTCAAATTACCGTTTGTTCTACTTAATCTTAATCTTGTGTAACTTGAGTTTAAAACCAAGTAACTCGGACAAAACTCCTGACAAGGCAGAGAGCAGTACAACTTTGGTAATTGTGTACAAATATGGATTGGCTGACAGTCCAGATATTTTGAAGGGACTTTCTAACTCCTGAAATAACATTGAAAATCAATTATATATGAATTGATGAATGAATACATCTTTTATCATAATTATGGTAAATTACAGATCTTTGCTTATATACTAACCTTCAATAGATCGGCTGCCAATTTTAATACACAATTCGCTACCATAAGCTCCTCCTTTTTGTGCGGTTTCTGTTCTATTTGTAGATAAAGATTAATCTGGAAGTAAAAGTGATCAATCAAAACTATTTAGATGAAAAGAAAAAGACACTAATCGTAAATAATAGAATCTACTGAAAGACATTAGAGGATAGTTATTTCAAAAAATATATTTTATAAAAACTATACAACTCGACATATACTTCCGTGATAACTAGTCCTATCTTACCTGTTCGGTTATTAAAACCGAAAGATTTCTATATTTCTTGTTGATCTTGGTGCCTAACGTCATGAATCGTAAAATAAATATTCCAAGTGCAAAGCTCCAAAAGAGCGCTTCTATATTGTATCGTGAGTGAAGACTTTCCAGGTCCTAAAATTAAATTGCCAATGGTTAACTAAACAATTTACAAAAACAATACTAACTAAAATCAAAATCCATACCTTAATCAGTTCCAAGCTAACGAAGGACAATAGTATGAGGGTAACTATGAAAACTGCTGATACTATTACGTCGACGGATCGTTGGGGGCCTCGTCTCTGTAATGAGGCCAAGTGAACAAACTGAATGTGCCAAGTGGACAATGGATATTTAAATATCATACTTTCAAATAGGACCTAACGCTCAGCCACGTTTTAATGTTGCGAACTTTGTTCAAACGGAAATGAGGTAGGTCAGATTTTCGAGCGCGTCTCGATGATGTCAGATGTGAGAATAACTTGGCATACAATAATCTTTGTTTAAAGGTTCGCTCAGCAACGGCCAGCAAGAAGAAAAGTATGCAGGAAAGTGTGAGTCTTTCGAAGGCAGATACCAGAACAATTGTACGCTCCCTAATGAGGAAATTGACAGTTCTATTAAATCGGTACTAGCCTATGATCATTCTCATTATAATCATAATTAGTCAGGCTTACCAGAGTGTCTTGCCAACAGCTGCATCCATTATTCTACAAAGAGCATCCGTATAAGTATCCAAACCAGCCTGTGTAAGAAGATCCCCATAGATGAATGTGCTGGTGACGTTGCTGACAGCATCGCTGCCAAAATGATCACTAAGACGTCTCATAGAAGGTATCAGGGTCAGTATTAGAGAGAGCAGTAATCCTCCATAAAAATAATCCATACTCTCAGGCATCGATTCCACCCTGGCAATAATGGCTGAGCTGATATCCAGCACCGAGAGTTCTGCCTTCATTATGTCACGTCGTGTCCATATGGTACATGAGACTAAAAATAAAGCAAAGAATTCTGATCCAGCTCCTTAAGAGCTTATTATTCAAACGTTTACTAACCACGATCCGAAGGTGCGCAACTTTGACTCAACAGAATCGACGGTGGCAGTTCAAATTCCCACGAGAACGGATGTTCGACGAACTCTGTATTTATGTTGCCCTCGCTATGAGATTCAGATTCCTCCAGCTCGGAACTAAATCATAAAAATAAGTATCGTCATCGACATTAGCATGACTCAGGGATCCTTAATGGAATCTACATGGACTACCATCGTCCTTATTGCACCTGTAGCTGCATTCGTCGCTATTCGTTGTTACTCCCATCCATTCAGTAGCGGAAGTTGTGGCTTCTGTGAGATGGTGTATCGCAGCATCCTCGCACTCGCCCTCCTCTTCACTCTCGCAAAGCTTCCTAGTGTTCGACGTGGACACCCCGACCATATCAACCTCATTTCCAGCAGTCCCACGATCTAGCACCGCAGCATTAGCTGATCCTTCACAGTCCTTAAACGAGTGTACTTTTCCAGAGGTTGCAAAATAACGCAACGATACGTGATCCAAATTCTATCATAGTTTTGTATTTCTATTCCAGTTATTTGGAGTCATTTTTTTCTAAATGTTCCTTTATATTGAGAATGCTTTCCGGTCGTTGTACCTTGATTGGAGTCTTAAGAATTACCTATTTTACCTACCTTCGCGACAACGAGTAATACACTCACATCATGACAAAAACGAGATCTTCGTTCGATTTCCTACTTACAGTACTTTCTATATCAATGCCGATGATGAAGATCGACCATGACGATAACGATGAAGACGGTGACATCGATTACGACTACGTTATCTCGATTATGATGACGAGGATAACAACGCTAGAGTAGTGTCATCCTAACGCGATACGAAATCCCGTCACATCATGGGGCAATATGGATAAACTTGTCTCAATTAATGAATTAATCGCATGTTTTGTGGAGCCGATAAATTCACATACCGAACCATTCCGTGCGTCTCCCTCGCTATCCGAATAATTTCCGCTTTTCCTCAAGGCAACGGGTGCTGCGTGGAAAGTGGAAAACCATAATTTTTTTATCCATTGGAATATATGTATATGTATATAATTGTACAAATGTATAGTATATCCACGAGTTCAGTGTAGGCGATTGGCAGCATGCGAAAATAGTCCCTAGTTACTTGAATGGTTTTACTACGCGTTCAAGCCTCCGTCCCCTACCCTCGCAAATACGGGTCGATCTATGATTTTAAACAACACGCGAGGTGATCAAAAAGTATACGTAGAGTTAAATTTCTTATCGTCAGTCTGTCAAAGTAATTGAAATAAATGTTTAAGTTTTATTATTAATTCACATCTGTAAATAAAGTGATCATATATTTGATTTCATAAATTTGTACACACACTACTTTAACGGGCGCAATAAAATGTGCTACTGCACTTCATTTTAGAACATTGACGTATTAGAAAAGGGTTCCTTAAAGATCTAAAAAATTTTGTTTCCTAGAAACTTTCTCCTACATATTCTATGATATACTAATCATATTTTTATTAGAAACCATTTCTTTAAAGTTACTACTTCATGCTGTGGACGAAATTATATGCATTCATGAACATGGAACATACATGTGTCATATGGCTACCACGGCCAGAGACGGCACTGGATTTTCTTTGCAGTCATTCTATTACTGCCAACATTACTAGTAGAAAATATTTTCGTAATATTAATACCGCAATTTCATTATATCAAACAATTATGCAGCAGTTTGGTGTGTAATTATATCTTATTCTTCTTACTATACAAGAGTAAAAGTATAAATTAAAGCATGACATGCTTTTAGAAGAAATTACTAGTGCAGGCCTCATGAAAGCACATGTTGCGGGCTAGGGATTTCATAGTTTTCGATCTGTCAAAAAACCACACCGAACTCGTGGACCTACTATATGTATACATGCCAATGTTACGGGGACATAAATTCGCAATGCGAAGGATGGTAATGGTGCGGCGAAAAGACGCGCAACTTTTGATCAGATATTATCGATAACATTTACATGTGATGTTATTGACATTGTTGTATAATGTCTGGCACTAGCTTCCAAATGATATGCTGTACTGTTGTTTCCTATAATTCTTGATTTCTAACGGTCGTAACAGATTTTCTTTATATTTTTATTATTTGGGATACTTTTATTCGATGTACTCATCATTTATTTCACGCCCATAAAAAAAAAATTTGGGATAAAAGCATACCAAACGTAACATGATAACCACATGCATACGAACCTGAGAACTTTGACGAACTTTCTTCGTTTTTAAGTTCATCAAGCCAGCTGCTGTGTTTCTCGTGGCGGGTTGCTCTGTCTGTGTTATTATCTTCATTGTGCTCATCCACTGGCGACCTAGATGCACCACCAGTAGTAGTAGTAGTAGTAGTAGGAGTAGTAGTAGTAGCAGTAGTAGTAGTATCAGTAGCAGTAGCAGTAGTAGTAGTAATAATAGTAGTACTAGTAGCAGTATCAGCAACGATGGTAGTAGCAGAAGTAGTAGGCGTAGCGGCAATAGCGGTAGTAGCAACAATTGCAGCAGTCACTCTATCATTGTCGCTTGACACGTTTCCATTGAGGCTTTCAAAGCCGTCATCATCTTGATGAACAACTACTGGTTTATTAGAATTCTCCTCCACAACATTATCTGCAATTTCAAACAATGTGTAGAAGAATACCTAAATACAATGAATTTATAAATATTATAGCAGTTCTTTTTACGGTACCTGACTTTTCTTCACCTGCCGAAACGTCTACAGGAGACATCGCATTTGCGGATGAACCGTCATCACCTTGGACGACACCGCCAGGTTTTTGCTGAACATTGTGATTTCGCTAAAAAGAGTTTTATTGCTTAACCTTATTACATTTTTACCATGGATTATATGTATATGTGAGAAAAAAAAAGGAAACAAAAATTGTACCTGTCTTGAACCCAAAACACTGGAACTCTCAATTGTAACTTTTTTAGCAAATCTTACGGAAGGTGGCACGTCACCGCTAACCGAACTAGCTTTTTCTGATGCAGTATCTTGGGAAGATTTTGATTCATCATTTACCCCTGAACATAGAAATCGTTTGATTATTTTGAAATTGTTACAATAATCAAGCCTGTATTATATCAAGCGGTTCTTCAAAAACATTGCTGTAAAATAGTGTAATGACTGCATACTTAGCTTCCGCCTGGGTCTCTTGCCTAAGTGACATCGTCCACGGCAAGAGCGGCCGACATTGAGATTATTATGAACATTGTTCATAGAAGGACCAGAATTTGTCGATACGATTTGAGAATGGACTGTACATAGTGTCAGCATCATGAACACCGGTATCAATACCTCAGAAGTTGACACAATCTATAGAATTGAAGTGAATTGTTATTGTCAATTATCACTAGAATTATTATATGATCAAATAATGATCTCGTACATTGGATTCATCGCTTTCTTTGATGATATTATTGAAGTAGATGCCAATATTAAGGAGCTGCAAGCTATATAATAGTAGAAAAAGAACAAAAACACGAGGACTTGTCTGCTGAATCCACCAACGACTGTGTAGAGGAAGTAGGAGCAATCGTTGGACAGCTAAACGAGCTACTGTAGTTAACCCATGTTTTGGTTTAGCTTTTGGGAAAGATGATCCTATACACACGATTTAACACAGAACGATTAAACATAAGATATCAAAAACAATATCTAGTAACGTTTGATAGAATCAAATATACCTCTCACAAGATCAACATCAATGAGTTCTGTCTTCAGTCTTGCAGTGCGCATGGGAATATGAGTGAATCCTCCCAGAATACGTTGTTCCACTGTTTTCTCCCATTGCTGCTTATCATACGTCCCAATCTTTTTTTGATACCTAGATGAATGTAAAAAGAAATAACAGTGTCATCCCCTAATTTAAACTATCAACAAGTATTATAAAAATATGGTATATTACTCACCAGTATACTAGTTCATTCAGTCCCATATCTAATACCAAATATGTAAGAACGATGTAAAAATTGAGAGCCTAAGAAGGGCAATAATTTCACAGACACAATGTCCAACAATAATAGATTAAAAAGCAGCTGACACAAATTTCTGACGAGCACAAGTAAGCTCACGTCCCTATACGGGTTGAATAATTTCCAACGTTCGATGGTAGCGAAGCTACTGTTCAGAGAATATTTTATGTCAGGATACGTCGAAAATTTCATTACTTAGAATAATTCGACTTGCGACAGTGTCCTTTAGCCATCAGCGATTAATACAAGAAGAAATTACAAACTTGCTCAAACGTACTGAACAGCACATAATATAACGTACAGCTCGTCAATGACTTGACATCTTGATACCCGACATGGCACTCTTTTTCTACGAATAGAACAATTAAGAATTTCTGATTCAGAAGAAAAGGCACTATAAAAATCAAATAAATACTAATTCATAAATAATATAATAATATTTGAACCGCTATCGCGTAATCTTAAAACTTGTAACAGTTGTTGGCGCAGACGGCGCAAACTTGTAATCAGTTGTAATCAGTTGTAATAAGCATTGCGATCGACCAGCGTCGCTGGTGTCGTTAAGCCGGGAAAGATAACAACCAACAACAGAAAAGATTGTTGATTTATCTTTATATTGAAGAAATAAAGAAGTTTCAATATCTAGTTTAGAATGTATCGAAGAATAGTACAATTCTCAGGACGGTATGAGTTATAGTTGAGACTCAGATTTTTAATTAATATTTAGTATAATACAATATTTAATATAAAGTGAATGAAACCATCGATCTGCGTTACTGTTAATATCTCTAGCTGTTTCTCAATTGTACATACAATACAGTGATATAAATATAACCTAAACAAAAGCAGTAATTATCATTAAAAACTGCTATTTTTTTTATCTTGCGGAGACGTATTAACAAATGGAAGATCACGAACTACTCAAATGAACGGTCAGAGATTTATGATAACTTGAACTTTAGCGATTTATATACAGCGGCAATGATGACTTCGTTACGTTTTATCTGGCTCATCAGTTATCTGACTGTTGCTAGCAGTGTACGGACATATGAAAAAAAAGACTTAATCACCCTAAGGGAGGAAGTGCGAAGCATGTTTGATCATGCATACACTAGTTATTTAAAGTATGCATACCCTTATGATGAATTACGCTCATTGAGTTGTAATGGTTTTGATACATGGGGAAGTTTCTCACTGACATTAATTGATGCACTTGATACATTAGCTGTTATGGGGAATTTTACTGAATTTCGCAGGGTAGCTGAGATTATTGGCACACGAACTGACTTTGAAGCAAACATCAATGTATCTGTATTTGAAACAAATATCAGAGTAGTTGGAGGACTACTAAGTGCACATTTATTGTCACATAAAGCTGGTCTGCAGCTAGAACCGGGATGGCCCTGCAATGGACCCTTGTTACGCCTTGCAGAAGATATGGCTAAGAGACTGATTGCTGCTTTTGATACACCAACTGGTATGCCATATGGAACAGTGAATTTAAAGTATGGTGTTCCAGAAGGGGAAACTAGCATAACATGCACAGCAGGAATCGGCACATTCTTATTGGAATTTGGAACACTCTCTAGATTAACTGGAGATCCATTATATGAGGAAGTTGCAATGAATGCTGTGAAAGCATTGCATTATTACAAGTCGAACATTGGCTTAGTAGGTAATCATGTAGATGTATTAACTGGTCACTGGACTGCCCAAGATTCTGGTATTGGAGCTGGTGTAGACTCTTACTTTGAGTATCTTGCAAAGGGTACCTTGCTTCTGCAAGATCCATTGTTGGGTGCCATGTTTCGTGAGCACAGAGCAGCTATAGAGAAATATGTAAGACGAGAGGATTGGCATCTCTGGGTCTCCATGACTAAAGGTCAAGTGACGTTACCAGTTTTTCAATCATTGGATGCATACTGGCCAGGAGTGCTCAGTCTCTTTGGTGAAATAGGCGATGCGATGAAGTCTCTTCACAATTATCATCAAGTATGGAAGCAATTTGGTTTCACACCAGAATTTTACAATATACCACAAGCAGAAGCGGGTACAAATCGTGAAGGATATCCACTCAGACCAGAACTCATTGAATCTGTCATGTATCTATACAGAGCCACTGATGATCCCTATCTCATCCAAGTTGGCGTAGACGTCCTCCGCAGTTTACAGCACAGCGCCAAGACGACTTGTGGCTATGCAACAATAAACGACGTGCGCGATCATCGTAAAGCTGACAGAATGGAGTCTTTCTTCTTAGCGGAAACTACTAAGTATCTTTACCTCTTATTCGATCCTGACAATTTTATACACGAATCAGGACAACGCGGGGACGTCGTGGAAACTCAATGGGGACGATGTGTCGTTAACGCTGGAGGATACATTTTCAATACAGAAGCTCATCCAATTGATCCTGGAGCATTGCAGTGTTGTCGACCTACGCAAAATATGTTTCCAAGCAAGAAATCATCTCTTAGGAGATTCATCGTTCCTAAGGATCAAGATCTACCGGAAGCAACAAGCGAACCTATTAATCATGGTACTGATCCTGAAAATGCGAGAGAAAATCACATAAAGATTATTAAGTTATCCGATATGAGACAAACGTCCGAGGAAAGTATATCTACAAATAAACAGAGTGATATACCTGAAACGGATACCGATACTATTTTAGAACAAGACACTTCTTCTAAAAATGCGCTTAACGATATGGAGAACCTTAATGAGAGCTCTGCAGAGGATGCTGATTTATCAAAAACTCAAATTATAGCGCCACCGAATGTTATTTACAAAGCAGACGATAGTGACACTATAGAAACTTTTGACTTAGCATCAGGTAGCAACGAATATTCTTCTAGTGAAAGAAATGAGAGTCGAACTGCAAATAATGTTTCTTATTCGAAGCGAGCAAAATTCGAACCACAGATTATGTTAGAAACTATTAGGAGAATCAATAGGTATCCTAGAAATATGTCAGCTAAGATTGACTATCAGTCGCTATCTTGTCAATCACAATCATTTCTACGACGCATATCAATCGTAGGAGAATTTTTTGATTCGTAAAATAAAATAATGTTCCATAAAGTGAAAATATGAATTGAAATTACATGAGTGCGATATTTGTTCATCCGAGACTCGCGTTTATCTTTTTTACCTTCTTCTATCGCAAACTACAACCAATTTCCATATTTATATTGAATTTTATACAACCGACATATAATAATTCTAATGACCCGCTTCTTTATCATGTCCCAGACAAATTATATCCAAAAATTGTCTTTCAAGCATCGAATGAGACAGAAGTTGTTTTATAAGCATCTTAAAGATAACTTTAGGATTTACATATTATCTGGGGTATGCAATCTTTACACAACGTATATTTTCTCTTATGATAAATTCTACAGCAGTGTACTACTGCTATTTTTCCATGCAATGTCGCACTTGTATCAACAGCGCACGCGCAATTGAAACGAAGAAATTTTCAACTTTCTTTTTGTTATTTTTTCGTTTTACGCGTAATGAAATTAAATTAATACCAAAGAAAGTACTCTATACGCAAACACTATGTTGTACAATATAATGTACATACTTATGTGACCAAGAAATTAAGTTTTTGTCCCAGTCAATTATAGCAATCGTAATTTTAAATTTTTAAATTATAAAATGAGAGATATCTACGTAGAATGATTATACTTGTTTCCAAATTCACATTGTACTTCGTGCCAATTTCTGTGTACATATACATATATTATCTATATAAACATCATGCACCCTTGGAGACACATAATCGTCACAGGGTTCCATTGTTCTTGAGCATCCAAAGAGTTCTAAGCGATTCCCTAGATAAATATAAAAACGTGCAAAATAGAATTTGCCAAATAACTACCAGTCAGAATAGATTATGCAATGCGCAAAACCGTGACGAAAATCGTACCAGGTCCGGTCTACCTGTAACGAGTGAAACGCAGTCCGTAAGTGGCAAAGAAAAGACGGAAAATCCGACGCCATCTTGGGTACCCAAAAGCGTCTAGGTTGTGTGAGTTGATGGCGAAGGGGCCTCTGCCAGTTAATCTATCAATGGTAATTAAAACGTTTTTGTCAACAAGGTATCTAGATCTGGCGGCATATATAAATTTCATAAATAGGCGTCTCGGTTGATCATAGAAGCGTATTGACAGTGTTCAGGGTGATGAAGTTACACTGGTATTTACGTCCTACTCAATTTCCTCCTTCCTCGTCTAATTGGCGCAGACCTATATTCCTAACAATTCTTTATGGTCGCATCTTTGTACTGCGATTCACATACTACTCCATTAGGTTCGCAATAGTTCACGTACTTTGTCAGTCTAATGGCAACTCCACTCTGTGTGATTCGGCGATCAACCGCGGATCCTCGAAATTAAACACTTGAAAGAGGTGTGGGTGCGCAATCGCAGAGATTTTAACGTCGTAATTGTGTCGTTGTCCGAAGTAGTATATGATACTATCCAGTGTTTATCAGACGGAGCATCTAATGTTCGAGGATACGACGGCGTCTCGCGTAGTAGGTAAACGAAAAAAATGCATAGTTAGGTTAGGTTCATTCGACGAGTTTCGTGAAGTCTCGGTGAGCGCGCATGACGCGATTTTCCTGTTCGATACAATTTTTGAGCTCGCGCGCGCGACATCTTATTTCATTTTCCTTATACGCGTTGAAATTTTGATTCTATCAAAATAAAGATAAGAATTATTCAGAAAGGCGAATATGTGCGCGTCTGATTAGGTATGTCATATGCTAATAGTGTAAGTCGTGAACTATGTTCTGTGACGCCATGCACGTATGTATACATGTCGCAAAAACATCCCCAGCCCCTGGCTTGCCTTGTTTAGGAAAACAATTATTAAATTTTTACTACAGACTGGTGGCCTTGTGTTTTTATCTTGTACTTCAGCCTGTCGTTATTTTTCTTGAGGATTAACATTTAGAACAGAAGAGTAAATCCGAAATGTCAGATGATAAGAACTTAGTGATATTTTTCATTATTCATGTATTCAGTAATCCAGATAATTATAAAATGATTCTTAGTTAGAAGGTTCCATAAGTATTAAATGTGTTGGTTCAGTTTAAATTTAGTAATAAAGTGGTATTTTGATAGATCATTGGTTTCATATAATAAACAGTTGTCAAATTTTAAGCTTGAGTAAATCATTAAATATTCCTTATTTTTATTTTATGGAAATTTTACTTAGTGGTATTCTGGAAGTCTGATTCATTTGTATTTTACAGGATTCATAGAAAAGAGTTTGTAATTACACCTGCGTAGATAATACTATGAAGTACAATGAACAGTGAAAGTGTTAGGGGGCAAAGAATGTTTTGCATATTAGAAAGATGAGGCTCTTGGGATTACAAGAAGGTGGCCATGGGACAGATTTGGGGCTGGACCGACTTTCTGATGTCGTGGACAAACACATGATGGCTTCTACAGGCAATATGGAACTTAGTGATGACAACTTGTCGGAGGAAGGGTCTATGATATCCAATCTTCCATTGCTATTTGCTGATGGCTATCCAACATCTTTGGAAGAAATTACATTGGTAAATTCATTCAAAAAAACACCTAATATATTCTTCGTCTTCTCCCACAAAATATATATTAAATGCAAGATGATTCATATCAAAGTTTTAAATGGTGGGTTCACGTTTTATTCTAATAATTCATTTATTACAGCCACAATTGGAACGATTCATAACATTCATGGTCCAATGTTCATTTGGTCATGATACTGCTAAGGTTGTGGGACAACCTCAGTGGTGGCCGAAGGAAGTTGCATTCTCCAATCCTTTCATTCGGCCCAAAAAAATCAATGAAGTGAGTATACAAGAGATACAATAGCCGTGGAACACTATTATTTCAATAGCATGTTATAATATAATGACAATTTCAGAACTGGATTGGAAACCTGAAGAAATTGGTATTTCGATGTTACACGTATCACAGGAGTGAATATTTATTACGCTTTTGCTCCTATCTCGCTTTATATCCTCGCGACAAATTGCAGTATGTCAATAATTGGGACTCTACGACGAGCTTGTACCACAAAGGTACAGGAAAACTCTTGGTAACATTCCGCAATGAGAATATGGTATGTTTTATAACATGAGCACCTTGTTCCGTTCAATATATTCTTATCTATAATGACGAAAACGTTTAACACCGTCATCGCTAATTGCAGAATTATGACAAAAAGGTCGAAAGTCCTCGAAGATCATTGTTACCGCGTAATATCGCCCCACCAGGTTCTACTTGTAAGACAAAACAACAGCAGCAGCAGCAACAGCAGCAAAAACAACAACAACAGCAACAACAATGCCACCAAGTGATGGTGCATCCACCATGCGACGATATTTACCTCTGCGACAATTGCGATGCCGAATTTGTCGGCTTGCAAAAAATGCAGGTAGAATTCTTTGTTATACAAAATGAATTCAACAACAATATAAAGCAACACAATTTAATATTGTCAAAATTAACAGGAACACGAAAAGACGTGTTGTGACCAAGAACGAACAGGCGCAATTTCCCGACCAGAAACTCCAGACCCGGCGTTGCAGTTACCGCAAACAACACAGAATCAATTTCTCGAGTATTTCCACTTATGTTCACGCGACTCCTCGTGTAAACCAAAAGTGTCTTCGGAAATAACAATAGCTGGAAATGCAACGACGACAAACGTCGATGGCATCACCTCCAGAACGTCGCGACGAATTCGTGGGTCAGTGAATCTCACTCGTTGTCCTACAATTCCATTCTCTTCACCTGCTGGAATCTTTATGGTGAAGAAATCCAAGACGATGACGGAAGTGACGCAACAGGAACGGCTGGAAAGGATAGAAAGGCACCTATGTGCGCCACCATTATGTGCTGGTTCGAGACCAAGATGGCTGGACAAAACCAACGAGTATAATAGGTGGATAGTTACGTACAAGTCTAATCGAGACAAACCTAACAAGAACTATGTGCACGAGTACAAGTTCAACAATTTAAAGGAAAAGCCAGGTAATTGTTACTTATAGAATTTTTTTTATATGTACACTGGATTTACGATTTACTGTTTTGCGGATTTGCACATCTATACATATAGTACAATCTATTGTCATGTTTTCTTCCGTATTTCTATCTTATAAGAATAACAGCCGCGATGTTCTGTATTGGTTACCAAACGATTTCTAAATGGCAAAAGAGGAAGTAATACAATTGTAAAAGTATAGTTTCCGTGTACGCACGCGATGCGAATTTTAAAAAACCAACAGTTCTACAAGAGATCACTTTATTTCCATATTTATTTCAGTGCTCAGCATACGATCCCAATTGTTATACATGGCGTGTCGTTCTGTGTGCGTTCTATTAACGCGACTGACAGACAAGGACATTGTAGAGCTGAAACGTGACATCTCTAAGTATCAATGTCCCAGTCGTAAAAGACCACCTCGTGCCAGGCCCAGATCCGCGTCAATGAACGACCAAGACGCTAACAAAAATACCTTGAAGCGTAAACTCTCAGTGGATCACAATCCAGAGTGCAGTACGCCAGGTCCTAGTTCCTCGAAATATAGAAAAGCTTCAAGCACACCAACAGGAAGATCTGCGGTTCGCCTAGAGGTCAATGTTGGCACCTTGGGTCCAACCACCCTGGCAATGACGAAATCAGTATCCACAACGAAGACGCCAGACTGTATACCACTAATCAATCTGTGCTCATCAGATGAAGAGGACGACGGTCTCTGTCCCAGAGCGACGACGGATGAGAACAGAGAACCTGAACGTCGTAGTCCTGATACGGCAATTATCGCGTCTTCGAACTTTCTCGATGATCTCACGCAAAGTAGATACTGTGCTTCACCGAATACTTTATGCGTGGACTGGCTAACGAATAGAAAAATGATCGATCATCATGAAGATCATCTTAATAATGTTAATGATAGTGATGACAATTGTGGCAAGAAATGTATCAGTGAAACAGTACTAAACACGTGTTCGCTCTACCCTCCCATGTTAAAGCAAACGCCATAAGCAAAGTATCCTGGGCATATAACACACTGTACGCGCTCTTAAAAAAAACGAAATAAAGACTCGGTGAAATAATCGTCACTTCAAATCGGCACGTGTGTACGTTTTACATATGGTCGCATTTTATTCAATGAAACCTCTTTGTTGAAAATACGGTTAGTAACGGCTTGGGACTGTATAGCTTAAGCAAAGACACGAAAATTGTTCTCCTTGATACTATTGTTTTTAAATGGTGACAATCGTATCAGGGTAAATCTTATAAAATCGTGATATCGCTTAATTTCGAATTCGTTATAGTTTTTATCGCATCGTTAAATTTTATATGAATGAAACATTATAAAGTGTATTAATCTGATACTTTGGATTATCAACATCGTTTTATGATAGAAATAGTAGATATAGTGCTTAGTATCATGTATTTATAACATTGAACGAGATTTTGTTTCATTGCGATTACTTTTTGTAAACAGATACAGAGAGAAGTGTAGAGAGAAAACAAAAATGAGCGAATCACGATTCTTTGTATTTTTTTCATTATAATACGTATTCCTGCTGAATTTACCCATTTAACGTTTTATTCAGACCTGATTTGCATTTGCTTATTGTATTATACTGCATTCAAAGAAATTATAATTAGGTATTGGTTGTCTATCTTGGAGTTCGAAATGATCTATCTTGAATACTTAAGTCCTTTACACACAAAATGACGTAATAATGTAGAACGTAAGCGTAAGGAAACTAACCAATCAGAATCTAGTATTGTCCATTTTGAGGGGTAGAGGGGGTACTAGATTCTGATTGCTTGGTTTCCTCAGGCTTGCGTCTTACGTCGTTACATTATTTTGTGTGTGAAGGGCCTTATTACATTCAATAAACAAAACTTTACTACAAATCTCTGTATATACATGTATACGTATCGCATCATCATTAAAATAATTAAAAGCTATTTAATTTCTATAATATGACTTCTCTAGATATATTGTTATTATTATATGTGTCCAAACCATAAGCACTTTTAATTTTGGCACATGTAGCTGCATCATTACAAGGTTGGCAGACACAATTTCGCATTTTGACTACAGGGACGTGTAAATCAGCGCATATAATTCCACGACAGATCTCAGGAAGTGGTTGTTCTCCTGTTAAATATATTTAAATTAAATTTCAAAAACATTAATTAGATCGAAAATAACAGACAATGTTAAAGTATTCAAATAAAAATTTTACCTCGCATGTGAAGACAAGCTAGACGATAATCCCTTCTGCAATGATTATCAACGCATCCAGCAGTGGACCGCTTGAGATAACAGTGATCGAAGGAGGAGCAATTCGCTAAATTACATGTACCAATTAATCTGTCTACGTCCCGTCGTGGTATACAAGCCTGAAGTATTCTGCAGGGATAAGCACGGCACTTTGGCTCACGTAACATACAAGCAAATTCCTTTCTGGGACACTCGAAGCCGCCGCAGCTAACAGCACGTCGCTTAAATTCGTGTTCTGGAATATGTATAAAATAAAATTAAATACGAAAAATACAAGACAAAAGCACGACACTGCAATCAGTCGTTTCTCAAAGGGCTGGAGATTGTTTTCCAGGTGTTAATTTCTTTACCGTTCTGAAACAGAATTGTCTAGCCAACCCGAAGTACCTTAAACGGTAGACCATTTACCTGTAACACAGTAGGCGTAGATATTCGTATAGAGTCCCGTTCTCTGGTCTCTCGCGTACCTGGTACTGCAGCGATAACCTCGTGAACACTTGACGTAATCACAGGAAGCTGGCGTGCGTGCTAAAAATTCACGACTTTGTCAAAAGGCGGCGGATCGTATGACGCTCACTGCTTGCGCCCTTATTGTCCTTTTTTTGTATCCTGGTACTTTACCTTTTTTTTCGGCACTACAAAACACCATTCCCGGACAGGGTGGAATGCGACACCAGTTCTTACGGTAGACACAGTGCTCACCCAGTCTACAGGACAGACGACGGCAGTTCAATTCCATTTCTATAATCATACAAGAATTGGACCGAATACCATAAACTACGTGAACAACGATGTTTACTCAAAAAAAATGATGAACATTTCTAACCTTGTACAGGAAACGACTCGTTTCTACTTGCTATACAGCGATACGCGCCTAATATGAATATAAAAATAATTGCAGAAAAATTCATTCTATTGCTAGACACGCGCGTGCGGCTCAAATACAACTGATAGTGAATCTCCAGGTCGACGGAGACAGGTATATATATAGATGAGGCTTAGAAAACGAAGTCGAGCTATTTGCATTGTTCAGCAAGTAACAATGGTAGAAGAATAAAAATGTTTTTTTTTCAGAATACTCTGTGCGGAGTGCATGCAAAGTATACCGTATGACAAAATAATACCGTTCTATACCGAAGCAGTTATATTTGTACAGTGGATATATCATGATTTTATATAGTATATATAAAATCATCCTTCATCTTGTCTAAGCATACTAGCTGTCGTATTTATGTAAACCCAGACGCGATAACTCCGAGCAGGAACTTAAAGGGAGCATTAAGCAATGATCACCCGTTTAGTGAAGAGGAAAAGATCGTCGAGTTTGGTGTCTTCGCGTAAATCGTCGTTCCAAAAAATTTATCTTCATCGTTAACGTCGCGCCGTATGGGAGTAGCCAGGAACGCGACTACGACTCGTGTTGCTGCTTAGTCGATTAAAAACAGAGAAGGCTTAAGAAAACAGTTCTCAATTCTTGTTCTATAGTTTATTTAACGACAGTTAAGTCCGATCGAATATATTTTTATGGAGTGCCTTCTAGATTTCTCTGCGGAGGGTACTGATTCGTGCGAGATGCTGTGTGGTCCAGCAATACTTCCGGAGAACATTGTACGAAAGATGCTGTCGACGCGGGTGGTCCCAACTGAAACCGGAGTTGTATAATTTTTAAGGAAAGCTGTAAGGCCCTTGATGGAATATGCACCATATACGTGAATTATAAAGACTTCCGATCTCGCAGGACCTAAAATCTCATCAAGGTCTAATGTTGATTTGATTGTTGATTACATTCAATTTCGCTTATAAAAAGTTCGCTTGAGGATTTTTTTCTGTAATCAGGAATATTCGGTATTCATATTCAGCTGTATACCCAGAATGTATTATAAGAGTCACACGGCTTAGCTACTGTGTGATAAGAAACTGGCACCAACATATTATTATATTTAGATAAATTCTTCATATGGAAACTTACTACAATGAACGTAAATAATGTACTATACATAGACCGATACACATTTTAATACCAGACGAATCACCGAAGAGTTTCACAGTGTTAAAAATGGATTTCGTAAATTTGTTTCAAGTCCCAACTTCTTTTCTCGTCCAGTACTCTATCACAAAGTAAGATGATCTTTCCAATAATCTCGGAGCAGCCTAATAAAATAAACAGAGTTCAAAGACATATTTCAATCTGTCCCAAGAACTTTTTTGTCATGGTGCCTTTTCTATGAAAAGGTATAGTCTCTGTTTTTAAAACCAGTAAGAATAGCCAGACTAGACACTAGGCCACTTTGATCTTGTAAAGTTGGTACTGCACAACAGATATCAATATACGTACCAATCGCACACTGAAAAATGTCTAATATCAATAACACGTAATTGGCCACGTTTTTCCACATGTTATCCTATCCGTCCCATAAATCTCCGAGTCCATTGTGAAGTCTGAAGAACGAGAAGAAAAAGTGATGGTATATGAATTCTGCTGGACGTTGAAATTGCGTAACGGGGAAGGCAACCTTTAACCTCACCGAACGAATATCGTCACGTCACGTACGAGCAGCCGCGACAGTTTATTGCCGTCGCACGAGATAACCCCAAAAGTTAGCTCCTCCTGCTTTTAGTTGTGATCTTGCGCCGTTCGTTGGCACACCCTCTCGTCTTTTGGAGACGGAGATACGGGACTGTAGGCTTTACGCAATTTCTTCGTCGAGCGCCAACAGCTTGGCGGCAATATGGCCACAGAGACAAAACATACGACGCGAAGTGGCGTTGCGGTAGGCGTTTTTAAAAAAACGACCGTTGCTTCTGCATAGAGTTGTACGTTTCGGATTTATGTGGTACAAATATTTATGACCATTTGTCTAGAGAGGAGAATAAAGTAGTCAACAATATCAGGAAATAAAATAATTGTTTATTTAATTCTCGGCTATAAATAATACGACGTTTTCTAGTCGTTATAAAAATTTGTCAAAGAAACGTCCGTTAGCAAAGTGCGCGCGATACAGTGACGATCGGTGCACACGGTGTATCGTACGTATCTCGCGCGAACATTGCTGACGTGCACTGTCGCGTGTCTGTCAAATATTAAGAAATAAATTGAGAGCGAATAGAGAGAAGGAAGATTAAAAAAACGTAAACGGACTAATAAAATGATACAATAAATAGAAAACGAATGAAAGGCACGAACGATTGGAGAGTGACAAATGACTGGCAAAGATTGTGGCGTTACTTCCTCGAATATACCAATAACGTGTACTCGGTAAAAACCAAAGTGCAGTTTACATACTATTATCCTCGTGACGGTAAGATCATAAAAGAGCAAATAAAAAAAATATAGTCGCGACGGATACGGAAGTCAGTTGCTTTCCATTACCGAGAAGAGAACGATCGCGGGACTTGAAAGTACGTACCCCAATGAATTTCATAGCTGCCAATGGCGGCAATATTATTTCCATTCAATTTCACGTCCGTGCCATTAAGTATAACCTCTCGAGTGAGCAGCGGCATAGAATCTCATTCTGTTTGACAGTCAAAATTCTTTGAAGTGGTCGCGAGCCAAATGTTGTCTCGCCTAAGAGAACAAGCAAATATATTTAAATGGCGCAATGAGTATTCCTACCTGCGCATGCGCACAACCGTTTCTCATTACTCGGCATGTTCTACCGGCTCTAAATACTCAAAAGCCCAACCGGCACTCGTACGAAAGTTTTTAAAGGAATTCGTAAATATCGCGTGCGTAAACGTTTTGAGGCCTCACGAAACTCGCGATACGGAAGGTACTGCACATATTGGTGAGTGCACATAACCTCTCTCCATGAGGTATTTGTATTAATATATGTACACGCACGTATCGTATATAAATACATATTATGTACCTTCCTCGAATTTTCCAAATTGAGTTATTTTGAAAGTAGAAGCCAATCTTTCCTTAATGCACATGCTTTATATAATTAAGAATGGAAAACAACGGTGGAAGCGTTCGAGACTAATTATTGCGAGATAACCTATAGGAACTAAAACAAAACGGAAGGTTCTGCGAAGCGAGTGTTGTTCTTGTTTATCCTTTGTTTTTTTTTGCTTTTTTTTAATAATCAACGAGCGTGTTATACAATACAACGTGGAACTAGGGTGCACAGACGTACGAAATTGGGCATTATCGTTCATCGTGCCCAATATCGCGATTCTACATTCCGTGATAGAAATTCGTGTTCCTCTAGCGTAACCGTAATAAATTAATAAATATGTACGCGAGTTCTATAGATACATGAATGAGTACGTTTTTTTTCCTGCGTTACGTGGCTTACTTAGTGTTCTAACGACTTACGAGTACAAAATACAATACGAATAGTAACGAGTAGTAAACGTGTAAACGTTCTTATATCACAGTCAGAGGGTTGATGCCCATGAGGAAAAGAGCCAGGGCTAGGGCCGTATACAATAGGGCCGATCAATAGGGCCTTACGTATTTATATATATGTATACATATAACCACACTATATACGTATATATATAATGGGGCCAACCAATATATCTCGCAGTCTTTAACACTCGAGGCTCGCCCGGCGTCCCGACGGCGACGCCGGGCCGCGTCGGACGATTCTTTGGTGAGTCCTCGTTAATAACGGTTCAATTAGAAACCTCGTCCACGTATATAATTAGATACGTGGACAAGCGTTCGCATAGCTAGTACAACCTGGAACCTCTGAGGCCCGTTAAGAACACGCACACTCAAGGACACGCATGTTCTTCCAGTTTGAGATTTTCAGTTTCGTCGAGTCGTTCTCGTCGAAGTAGAGGATCTCGAGCTCAGCCAGTTTGCTGGGGGCGCAGCAGGGTCGTGGCGCCTTCTTGCGATCCTCCTTCCAGATGAGACTCTGTAGAAGGGCGTGATGATGGGCCGGATTGTAACGTGGCGGACATCTGCCCTTGCAGTAACCTGCGTCGAAAGTCTTTGGTTGTATTATAAATTCGAAGCCCTTTAGGTCCTTGAAGATGACGGTCATCCGATGGCGGCAGCACTTCTTATTGTCGCCCCGACACTCGGTGCGTCTACCCTTTTGAAAGGACATCAACTGATCGGGAATAGCGCGCTTGTGACGACGTGACGATGCACTACCGTCACCAAGCACATTGTCCAGGTCCGACGTCATCACCGTGGTAAAGAGGTTCAACGTCGGTAAACGAAAGTTCCTTGGCCGAGGATGGCCGCCGTGCCTGAATCGCAACACCAGGCCCAGGTTGTCCTGACCATCCTCGAGCCAGGACGCGGCCGCTTCACTCACGTCGAACTCGACCCAGCGCAATTCACCAGGTCGGATCGCGGGAAGTTTCGTACGTGACACTAGGCGTCTTCTGCTGGGATCATCATTCGTCACTTGGTACACTAGCACTTCCGGTTCCTCGGTCGATGCCTCGTGTCCGTCTAAGAGAAACCTCAGATTAGCGTGCTCCACTTCGGTCGTGGAATCATCGTCAGGCAACTCCACTGGGAAGTAGAGACGACGCGAGAACTCCTCCTTGACGACGAACTCCGTCTCGTTACCGAAATACTCTGAAACACAAAAAAAGAACACCTGCTCTTGAGTGCACTGTAAGTTTCCCAAATATTACAGCATTTAGATCTACGCTCGATTCGACCCGATTTCCACGTTCCACGTTCGTGCATCGCTCGCGGTTAACGTGGCGACGTGGCTCTCGCTGAGGTCGAGTCGCACGCGATGATATTTAACGCGTTAGGCTAATTGACGCGTGCACATGCACATGCTACACTGTACTCGGCGCAGCATCCATGTACCATTGGCAACATCCTGTTTCTGACGACTTCCACCGGGAGGAAAGTGCTTTCACGACTATTAAGCAGAACCTTGAGCTTTTCTCATTTAAACCGTGCACAAGGGTATTCGTGAACAAACGCACCGTATATACGTGTAAGGCTTATCGTTAGCCCGTTTTTTTTTATATCTATACTGTAGAACTAAGTTCAGGTGGTACGTTTCGCGTGAATAACCCTATATTATAATTGACTTGAGGAACAACTAAGAAGAAAACAAAAAGACCTTCCATAACGAAGACTCGACCTTTAAACTTTCTAATAAAGGGTTCAGGATGATCACGTTTTCTCAGCTCTCACAGTGTTATACGTCCTGACTGCGTTAACTATGCGTAGAGTGGAGAGGTCAGGTCGTGGGTCTGATCGCGCATTTGCATAGCCTGACCTATGTGCAACTCGTGCAATTAGAGTCTGGATACCTTCAAAAGGTCTCGCCGCTTTCGCGTGCACCGTAGTCGTATCGATAAGAAGCCGTGGGTCAAATTAGCATCTGATAGGAGGAAGATGCTGGAGAAGCCTCAAATTGGTAGAGCATCGTGGCTGAGGAAGAAAAATAAGAGAGGATGGACGACACGGGAATAGATATCTCGAAAAGGGATACATATATACGCATATACGCTAAATAGGAGTACCAATATATATATAGCTGGAATCCAAAATATTTATCCACACTGGGAAATCTAAAACCGGAAACGCGTAGGAGGTCCAGGTTTAGAATCACAACAGAAAAATACACTTTGTCTGCACAGTGACAAGAATTCGTTTCGAGACGACGTTATAATTACACTGTGAGAGTTAAGCGTTAATTTAGCCGAGAAACGAATTTGCCACGCGCGTTACCAACGGAAACAAAAAAGAAGAAAAAACGAAAAGAGAAACGAGAGAACGAAACGAGGAAGCGAAAAAATAAATAAGCCAGCGATAAAAATACTCTATACCAATCGACAACAGAGTCCAAGTGTTTCCCTGATAAGAGATTGACCAAAAATCAGGAGATACCGAATTATACGTATTTAGGAGCATAATGAGAGAATATCCGCATTCCTGAAGACACACGAGGGATGACTCGGCGTTACGGTATTAAACCGTGTAGCTCCAGTGAATGGGGCCTCCGATATCTTGAGTGCGAAGAGAGAAGGAGCGAGAGGGACGAGCACACCCAGGAGACGGAGAAACTGAAAAGAAAGAGGAAAGAAGCCAAAGGTGGCGGCAATGGAGTACGAGAAGGAGGTGGCAGTCCATGCCAGTGTGAAAGATCGTGAGACGCGCCAAGAATAACTTGATTACCAGGCTTCCCTCCAAAAATAAACCGCCCTCCGTATTTCGGTGAGTAATCGCGAACCACGAGAAAGCCTTACATTCGACTCGCTATACGTAACGATGCACGCACTTACGTATACGCACAGATACGTAACCGTTGCGTACGCACGAAGTAATTTGAAGATTTTCAAACCGATAGAAGCTTCCCGATGCAAACGTTATTATCGAGATGGCGCTGCAGTCGAAGTATGTCTACCGCGGGTACAGTAAGGACCTTAAGGACATTGTATGGAAGCAAGGCAGTCCAGTTTCTTTTCTTGAGCCTCCGGTACGCGTTGTGTATGCGTTCGTGTATATATATATATATGCTCTGTCTCTCTGTATATATACATATAGACAGAGTCGAGTCAGGTGCAGCGCTTCTTGCATCGTGAAACTCGTCGCTCGGCATTCCGCCACGCTCGGGAATTCTATTTCATAATAAGGAGTCTGCGGGGTGTCTCGAGAGGCGGAGACCCGGGACAAATAGAAATGGAGCCGTCGTTAAAAAAGGAGTAAAAGGGACGTATATACGTGTAAGGCTTGACGGGCGTCTCGAGACAAAACCGCACCGCCTCGAATTGGCCACCTGCCCTTGCTGCGCCTTTGCCCAGCCAGTCCTTTGAACGCCATACCCTAAGGGCACCGGAGGCCTTTTCTTTATCTTTTTTTCCTTCTCTTCCCTCTCTTTCTCGCACTCCCTCTTCTCCTTACTCTTTTACGATACGGTATCGCACGATCATCTCCACGGTGATACTTGGAGCATCCCTTTACAGGTGGACGAGGATGTTATTTGATGATTTTGAAAAAAAAAATCTCTACGGAAAATAATCAATTACCCAAAAGCCACTGGCGTTATTAATTTTATTATATTTTTATCAATCGATCCATGTCGATATCGAGTATCGATACTCGAGGCAACACATCTTCGATTGCTTTTCGTCACCTCGAAATCTTCTGGAGTCCTCTATTAAATTTTTTATTATTTTTCTTTCCGACGAACTTTTTTTTACTTTCCTCTCTTCCCCTCCGTCGCCCACTCCCCTCCTCCTTACCCCCTCCGCTCTCGGGAAGGACGGACGCTAATAGTTTCATTGAGAAACTTACTCGACGTCAGGCAGGCATTTTAATAGCACGAGTGACGTGACACCACACGCCTATACACAAGAGACGCCTTGACGTCGACGACTAATTCGTACGCGACCCTGATCCTTATCATTAGCAACGATCGATCGACCAATCGATCGCGTATATCGGTAACCCGAAATATTACGTGGTCTAGTATAGTGTATACAATAAAGAAAATATATTACGTGATCTTTCGCACGTTGCGAACCTTTTTTTTTAATTCCAAAAATTCTTTTCCAACCTGTATATGTATATATATATATATATATATATATATACACCTACGCATATCGAGTATACTTTCTTTTCCGTAACTATATATGACATATACATACACACACATATATATATATATATATATACTCTATAGAGTATATATCAGTACACTTGTATACATATACTGTGTATTAGGAGCGTAAGATTATAGCAATAAAAATAAATGGAACATGAATGACGTTCAATCTGTAGTGTCACTGGGTAATACGTATGTACGATCTTGTCAAACGATTCGGCTTCTGAAAGGAAGTCGAGCGGTACCAGTTACCGATAAGGATCTCGACGAAGCCAATAAGCAGATGAAGAGAGAGAGAGAGAGAGAGAGACAGAGAGAGAGACAGAGAGAGGGAGCAAAGGGCAAAGAAAAAGATAGGAATAGTCTCCCAGGAGGATTTTACCAAGAGGCGCGTGCTCGTGGGTGTAACGTAGGTGCATCGACGGACAAGTCAATTATCCACGGTCAAGTTGCTCGGAATTATTTAAACGATTTCGACGAAAATAGCCGAACGACATCCGATCCACTTCACGAGATGTTCATGTGGAATATGAAGAAGATATGGCACGCGGAGCAGTCGTAGATCGAACCGATTATAGATACCGATGCTGCCGCACCCTGTAATAAAATGCTATCCCTTTTCACTTAGGTGAGAATAAAATGGTACCGGGTGCTTACGAAGTACGAGATCCTTCGTAAAAATTGGGGTTCGTCGCCGTAACAACGGCCAGACGTAGGAAAAGCATAACCCGTTGGTCCGTCTACCTGTATGCCTTTTCCATGCCCGCGGTGTATACCCTCGTAAATTTTCATTATATCGCTACTAATTGGAGACGTCCATTTAATTCTCTCCTTGGGCCCCCGCCGAATTACGATCGGCGTCGTTCACGAGGCGCGGCGCGTCCTTCCTTCGAAATTCCACGTTTATCGAAGAGCGCCACGTTGTCAGGCAGTCCGACGGAATGTCTCGATATCGATAACGG